CTCCGCCTCCTTCCACCGGCCCTTCATCTTCTTCACCAACCCCACCATCGCTATGCTGTCTAATGTCTCTATATGTTCTTCGCCAAATAGCCCTTTCCTAACTTCCATTGAAAGTACACACATTATCTCTGCCTCTCCCGCACTTCCTCTCTGCCATGCAAACCACGCTGCGTTGTACAGCAGTAGCGCCCACTTCTGAAGACACTCTTTGTTTCTTGGTCTCTGCTCTACTACTGCCGTCGCGTGCGGAAACAGCGCCTGGCATGTTGCCCAGTTCTCATACCGTCCTGGCGGAAACTCCGCGCAGAGATTCGTTATGTATCGCTGCTTCCACTGCTCCAACTGACCCTGGCTCCCTAGCCATCTCCGGGTAGCCAGCTGCACTAGGCTGTGCATCTCAAAGGCGTCTGCAGTCTTTGTAAGGGAGATGAAAGAGAACTCCTGCAGCATGACGATGTCGTCTTCAAATGCACGTTTGCTGACTTCCCTCTCTCTGCTTTCTTGACTAGACTCTACGCTGCGCTGCCCTACGTGTCGCTCTTCGTAGCTGTGTAGAAGAAATTCTGGTATCCCCTGCCGGTCAAAGAAGCTCATGAGCGATAGGAGATTGGCAGCTGACTCCCTCACGTCTCGTACATGGTCGAACGAGATCTGCCACGTTATAATGATAGAGTTCTTAGCCTCCCTGTCCCGGCGCAGACTGCCTGCTTCGTAGTCTAGGAGACTGGTCTTTGTATCGTCGTTCCTGCGGAACTCGTCCAGGTACTGCCGCACCGAGCATCGCGGCGCGCGCTTCTTGATGTACGCGGCCGCCTGCACGAGAGCGAGCGGCATGTGTTCCAGCGCTGCCGCCAGCTCAGCCATGCCATCCTGCTCGATCTCGCTTCCCAGTTTTCTGGCCAGGAGAGCATGGGCATCGGCCTTCCGCATTGACTTGACAGGTATGACATCGCCAATCTCGACAAGGCACGACGTCGCCCGCTCGGTCCGGCTGGTCACGATAACAGCGCCGTGCCTGCTTGGAGGCAGGAACTGGGTTACTGGCGAGAGGACGGCCGCTTCGTCCGCGTTGTCGAGCACTAGGAGCCACTTCCCCTTCTTCTCGTCGCGCAGCCAGTCGTGCGCTAGCTTGAATACGTCCGCCTGCGGGTCCTTGCGCCCGGCGAGCTTGACTCGATTGGCGATGTCGCGGAAGCCCTGCTCGAGCCGAGCCGCATTGCTCGCATGCACCCAGAACACCCACGTCTCCGGCGACCGCTCGGCGGTGCGGTAGCAGTGCTCGATGGCGAGCTGCGACTTTCTGTGCCTGCGTCAGCCGGTGACCGTGACCTTCCCCAGAGCGTGTCCGCCTACCCCACACCGCCCAGGCCCACCAGCGCGATCCGGGATGCCGGCGCCGTCGACTTCTCGCGTATCTGGTCCAGGAGGGTGCCGCGGTTGACGAAATCGGGGTCGCGGCGGAAGGGGAGCACGCAGGACGGGCTCGGTGGGGTCTCTGGTCGTTCTGGAGGAGCACAGGGCGTGGTCAGCGAGCTTGTACAGGAGCAGTAGACGGACAAGGTCATCTACCAGCGGCGGGGTGGAAGTGGGCCTCGATGCGGCCGGAGTTGCCTCCCACCTGCAGGCCGAAGTTGGTCGACCTCTCAAAGGTGGTGGCCATGTCCACGTACTCGGATGGGTCTGCGATGGGTGCAGGCGCGGCAGAAGACCTCTAAGCGCGCCCCAGCCCAGCTGCGGGCCACTCCTCAGCCGCGTCGCTGGCGCTGCGGCTAAAGCTGATGGCAACCCTTTATTATTTACAACCCTTCCTATCTATAAGGTGTAAAGAGTACGTCGCTTTGATTAGTCTATACTTCTCTTTACTATTCCTCATCGCTTATCCTTCTGCCCGATTTTTAGCCTATGAGATGGCAGAAGTAGCTGGCTTAGCCCTTAGCGTAGTTACTCTCGTGGGACTCTTTAACAACACTGTTGACTGCTTCAAATACGTGCAGCTTGGCCGCGGCCTTGGAAAGAGCTTCCAAACAAGTCAACTTAAGCTCGACAATGCAAGGCTGCGTCTATCTTAATGGGGCCACTCCCTGGGCCTCGGCAGCAGCATGGAAGATGAACAATCGTGACGGACGTTACAGCCTGTCGCTAACTACTGGACACCGGTAACAACTACCATAGGAAGAGAGGGAAGGTAAACTTCAAGAACAAGCTTTAATCCACCGGGAATGACGCTCGAATCTATTTGCATAAACCCATGTCATCGCTTCCACTGAAAGATCACTCTTCACTCAATAGTTCCGTCTTGTCTCAGTGTATTTGTGGCGCTTATTCTCATCGTACGTGCTTGATCCCCCGGATTTTCTTTCACGCACCAGATTATGTGTATACAGTAGATCTCGCTCGAAACAATCACAAAATGGTATCGCTGCAGTTTGCAGTGCTTAAGTGAGACATACAAAAAAGATGGCGACATGCGGAATCGTTGTGTGGAAAACAGGAAAGGCAATTGAGGATCGTCTCGAACAGTATGCCCTGGCAAGACGATTGTCTCATGTCATTTGCTAAGAAACACACTCGCATGCTGTGTTGAGTCGGTGCAAATTGATTTAATGGTTCGTATCTAACTTACTGGGCTTCAGAATTTTTCCCTTCATTAAACCAACAGCAGCGGGCGCGATGCTAAACTTTGGATCATTCCTTCCTACACGTCTTCAAACTCACCAAACTTTGCTCCTCTCATCTCACACATGCTCCTCAGCTCCCTTTCACTGCCGAACATCACCGTCATAAACACCCTGTCCGTTCCCATCCTCGGCTCAGAATGCACCGGGCTATCTTCTCTCCCCCAACTAAACCTCACCACCTGCCCCTTCCCAACGACCACCGACTTTACATCCTTGAGTCTCTCAGCCAGCCATACACGCAACGCCTCATACGCTCGGTCTTGTTCCTCCTCCGTACTCTCAACCTCCTCTTTCCCCTGCCACCAAAGACACTCTTTCTCGCCTTGTGCCATTATCGCAAACACCTCATCTTCCACGGGAAGCATCAGCGTGGGCGGTCCCAGCAGCGTAAGCGCGTATTTACTCCTCGCCACTGCCTCGCGCCCCTCGTCATACGCGTACATACGGCCGTCCTGGTGCCAGCGGGGAATATCGAAGCCGCTGTGCGGTTTCGATAGTCGGATTGTGAACCAGCAGCAGGATTTTTCGTCGGCGGTGCCTGGGCAGTCGGCGTGCGAGGCGTCCAGGAAGGCCTGCAATGCAGTGGCGAGTGATGCCTCGTCGGTGGCGTCTGCTTCTACAAAGACGAAGTGTGCGGCGCGGGAGATGAGGGGGGATGAGACTAGGCCGAAGTAGTTGAAGGTCGTGTTGCGCGCTACTGAACTGAGGGATGGAATCTCTATGTTCTGAGGGAGAATGGAAAGTGGCGCGGAGCTATCTGTAGGGGAAAACATCTTGCGAATAGCCTGATGGTCGACTTCAAGTTTCAGTATTATAAGTCTTAGAGTCGCCTTGAACAGTGAGTGTGCGCTAGGCAGCAGCACCTAAGCTTTCCTTGCGACTGATCATACGGAAAACCCCGAAAAAGCATATTTCGATGTCGCTTCAAGCCATTGGCGCGGAAATAGATTGCATGTTCGAGGCACCCGCTTCCGCTATGTTGTTCTACAATAGATGTGGCGTATGCGACTCGCTGATTCAGCCTTACGTGTTGTGGTCATGGAACGTGTCGATTGTGATTTCAACGATTCTACCTAGCCTAGACTGACTCTTCTTACTGCCTTCTCCACCCACCTAGTTGTTCGCCGTCTTGTCGTTGTAGTAGTGAATCGTTTGGTCAGCGCAACCACTCGGCGTCTGGTACGCATAGTTGCCGAGATTGATGTACATCTGCTGTCCTGTGCACACATACCACGCACTTGGGTTCGGTCGTGTCACGTCGGGGCCGCTCCACTGCAAGTCATCGCCTCCAAACTTGAAAGTCCCATACGTGTTCTTCTCGGCGGTGAAACTGACAGCAAGAGACGCATTGTTGATGCTTCGTGTCTTGGAGACTTGCGCATAAAGGAGCTTCACCGCTTCGCCTGGTGCGGATACCAACTGCACGAGCTGCCCGTCTTGAACTTGGAACTGACCAGCTGTCGTGTAGTCGCCAAGAAGGGCCGAACCGGTGGCATAGAGTGGCTTGGTCTGCATGTATTTATGGTAATTGGGGGCTGCGACGGCGCGAATCCAGTAGTATCCGCTTTGAAGCGTCTTTCCTGGGCCCGCGCCAGCAGGTGTGCCTGTCGTGGCTGGAGCCTGTGATGTGGTAGGGGTTTCAGGGACTGGGTTAACGGGCACGGCGCCTGGCTGGCATTGCGAGTAATACGGACTAGGGCAAATTAGAGGATGAGCGGGCAGGAAGACGAGGAGATGTGTGCTGACTTGATGACAACGCAACCGGATCCTGTGGCGCATTGCGTGTCTCCAGCGTAGCTTGTGCCTCCGCCTTTGCCATGGTCAGCTACGATTCTGGTCTAGGCTGGACAACGTGTACATTGCTGCCAATCTCCTACAATGGCCGAGGCTGTGCCGCACAGCACCGTCAATACGGCCGCGGTGAAGTGATGCATATTGGTGCACAATGTAGCCGGGAAGTTGAACAATGTGGACGACAGTCGAGAAAGTAGTGGAGGCTACAGCAGTCCAGGGCAATTCCGGACCTCTTGTATATCGAGCACCGTGGCCAGAAGTGTGTGCATGTGACGTTACCCATCTAAAGTTCGCAATGTCGATACCGTCGGACCGTGGCAGCCGGTAGAATCCAGGTAGATTAATGACTAGGATGTGAAGCGAGCATGTGTTGTACCGGAATAGATGTCATAGGCTACGCCAGCCAGAAGCTGTCAACGCTTAATCCGAATAAGGCCTCTGGGTTGAACTGTAGTGTGGTGCTTGGATGCGCGTGGTATCGCAGATGGCACAAGCGACATGCGCGGATGAAATTATGCCGGCTGCCGTACAATTCGCGGCCGTAGGTACTGACAGACCAGCAGCTAGCATCTGAATTTGCTTCGGTTTCCGGACGACAGTATGTTTGGGGGAGCGCATGGTTGGCGCTCATACCGTCTCTTCAACTCCACCACCGACGGGCTCGGGCCGGGTTGCGAACAGAATTTTGTGCTTCACAATCTCGACAATCTCAAGCTCTTCACCCGTGCTTGCCGCCTCAGCGCCACCCATGACTGCATCTTCACTTTCTACAGCCTCCCTCTTCTTGATCACCGCAAACGGCTTGCCCAGCTTCTTCACCTCGCCGGCCATCCTCTGGTTCTTGCCCACGTACAAGTACACCCTCTTCATCCACTTCGTGTCGTCTTCGCCGTTGAGGTCGGGGTTGTGTAGTGGGAACACGAGCTTGCCGACTTGAGTGCTGGCCTGCGCGGCCGCTGGCGGGAATCGAATATCGCCTTGAAGCTCCAGGAGCGCAAGGCCCGAGGGCGTGCGGAGGAGCGGCGGAAGCGGATTGGAGGCATGGGCGGACGAGGACGGCGCAAGAGCCCGTGGGTGGAGGGGGATGGTCGGCATAGCGCCAAGCTGTCGAGACAATGGATCGAGACTGGGACAGTGACAAGGCCAGTTGCAGTCAATGGGCAGGTGCAGCTGCAGGCGACATTTTGGCGGGGCGCGAGCGCGACGCGTTCCCGGCCGTGCGCGCCCCGCGGGGGGTTCCTTCCACCCTCGTCCACAGGTCCAGAAACGTCGCATTCACACGTGACGACTGCGCCACGAACGGCTTTCTGACATACTCGGACGCTACTTGAATGATGCACGCACAGCTCACGTAAACTGGGGCAGGCTCTCCCCACTTGACATGGGGGATGTCCCAGGGGGTACATCAATACTTCGACTAACGTAGAACGCAGGCTTCAACGTCCAGCACCAAGTCCATGGTTCCTACCTGCACCTCGGCAGGTGCCTCTCTCACCTCGTTGTGAGCTCTCGTCATTGTGCTCGTCACGCTATTTCTTTGAATGTTATACTCACAGTGCAATGCAGAACAACACCCTGTCTCCCACGATCACAATGCTACCTTCACAGCACCCTCTACGATATAAAGGCGTGCCACGCGCCTCGTAGAGAAAATTGAACAGCCCAAGCCAAGCGCAGCAAGCCAGAAGAAAGCAGGACACCTGGTTGCAGTTCACCAGGGCAACCATATCTACTCAAAAAACAGGCCTCTTTGCGTCCGTACTCTTCCCATTCTCGGCTTCAAAGCGTCAAGCAAGCCATTCAACCCAATAAGTTTACCTTTTCCATGCTACGGCTATAGTCAGGATGCCTTCAGCTAAACACCGCATCGCCAAGGCCGCAAAGAAAAAGGAACAGGCTGCGCTTACCCCCGCTAAGGCCGCTCGTAAGGACCCTATGACGGCTGATACATCGCAGGGTGCTATCACGACTACTGTAGAAACCCTCCATGAGATTGTCGATCCAACCAACAACAATACGCCAGATGAATCGCGACCTGACGACATGGAACCTTGTCCATATTACATTGGCGAAATTGGAAAGAAGACCTTCAAGTCTATTGGAGCCGTATTCAAACATTGGGTCGATCAACCCATAAAAGAGAATTCACTCTACAATGCCGCACACCCTGAGAATAGATTTCATGCCGACTGGCTGATGTATCAGGAGGCTTTCCGCAAGAAGGACGAAGTTGATGCTCCCCCTAGAATGCCGTACCACCTTATAGGTGAGACTGCATGGCACCATAAGCATCCGCTTCATGTCGAGTGGCTGGAATATCAGGAGACTTTCCGCACTGGGCGCAAGAAGGACAAGGAAAATGTGCCTGCTAATGCGTCCGAACTCTCAGTTTACGTAGAGCCGTCGGCCTCGCGTGCTAAGAACTGTTCCTACTGGCCTTTGGGGAAGTGTAGGGACCGAGATGGTTGCCGGTATTACCACGACCCAGCGAAAGCGTCCGAAACTCCTAGACCTCGTGCCGCTCTGCCAATTGGACGCTGGCGTTAAGACAAAGGTATTTGCGTCATGACTGCTGATGCTTGACTACATGATCATTTCGCTAAGGTCACCACTCATTGCTTCAGAGATTCTCTCTTCTGTCTAAATTGCAGCGCCATAGCACTTCATAGCTCGACATAGCTTTTCCCGAGTCTGCTGGCAGTCTGCGCAATTTTGCGTCCTACTGTTTTTGATATTATAGCTCAATGCATACTGTTATCCTCATTCTCACCCTACCTATGTTAAGAGAGCGTAAGTGAAGTGCAGTTCGTCCTTGTTCATCACGTTAACCATGACAGTTGCAACGTTGAGTGATTTGACTAAAGTGAACTGGGTTGCAAAAAGCTACAACAGCGCCAACAACGTGCCCAGTGCTACTCCGTACCATTTGTAGCTGGCGGAAATTCGGCTTCCCCCAGACTGTGACTTGGAGATAAGTGCTTCGGCGCTGGCCGTCCACCACATCGACCCAGTCGTCGTCGCCGTCGCTGTAGTCACATCCGTACTGATACCAGCACTACCACTTGCAGTACTCGTCTTCGTTCCCAGCGATGCCGATACCGACGAAGTGGTCCCCGAACCATCAACCTTGATACTGTCCGCATCTCCGCTCGTGTCCCCATAAGTATAGCTCGTCCCCGGATTGTCATTCACGACCTCCACCTTCTCTAGTACCATCTCAAAGGGACCCTGACTATAATCGGTCTCGCCACCCGCCCACTCAATCGTTCCCTCAGAATTCCCACTGTCGCCGCCAGCCCAGATCCCAATCCTCACATCCATCGGCGTCTGCGGATAGCTGTTGCCGCCTGCGGTCGCCTCGTCCGCCGTCAGCGTCCGCAACACGACGCCATCGACAAGCCATTGCGTCTGATCTTTCTTCCACACGACAGTGTAGTTGTGTGAAGTAGTCTGGCTACCGGCCGCCGCGACATCGACCTCGCGGTTTGTCGTGGTGGACTCCCCTTTCCCGAAGTAATTCGTCTGCGCGACGTCCGGCTCGCCGCCGAGGAACTCCCAGTCGATCTCGTCGAGGTCGTCGGAGAGGAGGATCGCGGAGCTGACAATGCCTGTGCCGGGCGAGGCGCGCAGGATGAACGACACGCGTCCGAAGAAGATGTACCACTTGCTGCGGATGGTGGGGGCGTCGCCGGATTTGGTGATAGTGAAGAGCGCGCCCGAGGAGGTGGCGGTTACGTTGCCGGCAGTGATGTTGAAGTTGGTGGAGTCGAGGCCTGTGGTGAAGTCGTGGGTGTAGGTGCTGGATGAGAGAGCGGTGTTTGCTGAGCAGGCTGGGAGGTGTTAGCTTTGAACGAGAGCGGATGTTGTGCATTCTAGAGGTCGCACTTTTCTCTGTTGGATTACATGATGTTGTGGTTTGTGCAGTTACGACGGTCGTCAAGAGCAGCGGGAGTAGACTTGATGGTAGGAATTGCATCGTAGTGACAGTGTGGAACCAAAATCAAAACACCCCCCGAAGGACTGCTTGAGAGGCAAAAGGCGAGATCACACTCCTGAGAGCTGGTACCTTTGTACATTCATAACTTCGCTGTGGACTATCGAAAGCAACGTCACCCAGGATACGCAATCCTAGCCTCCTTTCGGTGGGCTATTTGTGGAGAAGTTCTGGTACCGAGTTTGTTCTAAGGCATTCTCAAAGTATCCAACTATCGGACCGTCGGGACCGCGTGCGGAACCTAGGATCAGACGCGTTGGTGCATTACGAAGCTAGTGGGGCGTGCGTCGTAGTTCAGGGGAGGCCGTTCGGTTGCTGCGTGGCTAGTACGTCAACAACCAATCAAAGTCGTACACACACAATAAGTCAGCTCTAATGCCGCTATTTCAGGCCAGTGAACGGCTGCACAGCCACCGAGTGATGTTTCATCGCGAACATGTTGTGAACCATGGGTGCACATTTGGTCTGCGGAACCATGTAGGTCAAGGGTGTAGTTGAGAGGATGGCTCCGGGACTGCACACTTTGGTTCTAAGACAATTGACGTATTATGAGTAAACATCATGATTAAAGTTCGAAATGAAGGTTTCTTCGGCTTTGAGTTGTACTGTACGGAGGCTGCGAGCACTTGGTTCTTCTTATCCGATCATCGCCGGGGAACTGTCCACCACATTGAGGTAGAACGCATTAGACCAACCCTGCCCCGAAGCAGTCGCCTTGTACTGATCACAACCAGGATAATGCGGGGCAGAGAACTCGATCATGCCATTTGCATCGGATTGTGCACCACTACCTGAGAGCATAGCACCAGTGTAGGGCAACGAGCTGCCACCGTCAGGGCTCCTGGAGGTGACGGCGATCTGAAAGCTTGAGCCGGTCTCAGTGACCGCATATGCAGGCGTGATGGTGAGCAGCACCTTGTTACTGTTAAACGTATACCACTGACAAAGCGAGCTGTCTCCTGGCTAGGCCTGCGCGCCACATCCACCCAACGTTGTGAACACACTATTATTCAACACGCCCCAGGATTGAATGTCAGTCTGCGCCGTAGATGCGATGCGCGTGATGAAGTAGTCCTGGAATAAGGGGGAATACGTTCCGGCGTACGTGAATCCGATGAGTCGTGCGGCTGCATCCTTTCGCGATGATAGGGAAACACCGGTGCTGGTTCCGCATTGGTGGGTACCGCGACTTAGGGTTGTGCTATCACTAGGTCCCGCAAAGATGCATCCTTCGAATGCTGTGCCTTGCGTGTCGTCGGCCTCAATATGGTGGAAAGCGTTGACGGACTCAGAAGGCGCATCGGCAGGTTGTGTGCAGGTAATTTGTCCGGTTGTAGGACTGGGGTACGTAGCCGCGGGTGCTCCGCATAATGAAATAGACCCGTACACAGTACTTGTAGTAGGGGATACACACGTTGGAATGGTGGCAATGATTGTGTTCGTAGTTACTATTGTAGCCGTATGTGGTAGCAGCGTCCAAAGGACTGTCATAGTATGTGTGGGGAGCGATTTCGAGACACTTCGACCAGTTTGTGTTTTAGTTGATGCCACCGGTCAGCTTTCTTTTGAGCCTCAGATTTGATGAAAATCACCTGTGACCACTGGCGGCGGTGCCTGAAGGCAACATTTGCGCTAGGCTCAACCCAGTCTGTAATTAGTCCATGAATCATTATGTATTGTGGTAGTGGAGGTGTTCTAATATCAATGTTTATGATGTACTTGAAGACTTCGATATGCAATTGAGCAAGCAGCTTATTCTGCGCCGTGGAGCCTTCGTGCGCGGAGTGCGAGATCATTCCAGTTATTCTTTGCTTCATCACAACATCTCAAGTCAACAAGGGCGATGCAACCTCTGCTTCATTGTTGACTTGTCACACCGTTGTCGAATGTGAGTTAATTTCGAGTGTGAAGACGCGTGCGCTGATAAATATGAACTAGATCAAGTCATCGGCCTTGCGTTCTTGCTTTCGCATACATCCTACTCCAAACTCCCTATAGCATCAATTGAAAGTCTACTAGGCTGAAAAATGCCGCTCTGCGATAGCTCACTCACTGTCTCAAAATACATCGGTTGAACATGCACCACTTGCGATCGATGACTGCTAAAGTTGTCCGGCGAGCAACGCTCGAATCGGCTCACCTTGGCAGTGAATTTCTGCAGAAAATTTTCTGCAGAAATCCTCTGCCCATCTCGGCTACGAATTTATCCCCTGCCCTCATTGTTGCCTCGGTCTTCACTTGACGACCAATCACCAGGCCTCATGGTCTCCTGGGACATCAACACCAGTTTACCGGCACTAGCGCCGATCGATCTGTCCGTCAACATTACAAGCCACGGTAGAATTGGGATACGATAGGTATGCATCATGCCTCCTGATCTCTCACAATCGTTTCAGTCATGGACCATCCCAAGGTCCCACATTTAGTCGAAATGAACAGCCTACCGTAAGCCTTTGGTAGTCCCAGATCTGCTTCCTCATTGCTACGTCACTCGATGCGGCTTCTGTTTGGTACCAGGTCTGTGACTTGATCTAGTTGAGGGATGAAGTGCCGCAGTGCGAGGCGCTAAAGTTGGGGAATGGTGCACCGGCAGCTGGAAGGCTAACAGTGATCATGCCAGGCCGCGTATCTGCAGCAATTCCGCAGCAATTATTTCGCATAGGATGCGATCCGTAAACCTCTATTGCCTCGCGCGAGCAGCAAATTCGGCTTTATATTCGGCTACAGTCGACTATCTGCCGCTTGACCCTTATAGAGAATCTATTTGCAGAGGACTGAACAGGCACTCTTCCAGGGTATCGGCGCTGTTTGGCGGGCGCGTGTGTACAGGCTATCTGTCGGCATCCCTCCTCAGACTGGAACATAGCCCTCCAGTTACATTGAAATTTACTTGCGTTTTGATTGGTAAATTTGACGCGGTAGCCGCACACCGTGCAGATCCGGTGAGATTCTGCGGAGAGAGACACAGAGGCTTCCACGCTTACTACGGCAATATACAGCGCCGGGCGGCAAGCGCCTGTTCAGACTTGCTCTTTCCAATTCAACTTTCGAGTCTGTCTTAAGCTCCCCCGCGTCTATTCCCGGTTTTTGATGCAACAGCAACGATCTCAAGTAACCTGACAGGTTTCCAAGTACAGTGCCTCAAGCTTCAGCACGTCCGATCGCGAAGTTTCCTGTAAGAACTCGGCCCCATTTTGGTAACGCAGGCCAACGCTAACGGCCCTGCATGTACGCTGGTCCTGCAGACCATCGTGTCAGCTTTCGCCCCTCCGGAGACCATCCTGGTACATTTTGGATTCCTTCGAGATCGCTGCCCATTCGAGCTTAGTGGCTTTGGCCGCTACATATATCTGCGATAAGTTCAAATGTCGCTATTGACAGTAAAAGACCGAACGACGTAAGAGGGCAGCCGCAGAAGCACGAATACAAGCCGAAAATCCCGTCTCATATTGAAGATCGATTTATCTTCTTCTAACTCCTCCGTTCATTCGATACCACTCAGCACACTATTATCGCCGAAATCCAGTTTCATTCACGGCCATCGGCACAATGACCCCAGCCAACTGCTCAACGTCCAATCAAAGCCGAATAAACCTCGCAGACAAATCTCACTGGACCCGTCAGGACATCCTCTCCCTACTTCAGCTTCTCGCCATGATTGTGCTACCTCTCGTTGGTTGCGCATGGCAACTGTTCGTAGTGCGCTTTGGAATCAGTAGGTCTAAGCTTTCTCACGAGGGGGAATCTCACTATGAAATCAGAACTGACTGACTTACCGTTCGCCTGGATCGATTCATAATTCATGACGAGTACCATCAGCGTATCTGCCCACACGCTGACCAGGACCCATCCACCGCACCAGGGCAACCTGCATGGTAGTTCTTCCCTTGTGTATATTGTAAAGAGGTGCTAAGTCTGACATAGCACGTCATACACTGCGATTTCAACACCAATGTCTGTCAAACAGCCTTGAAAGCGTCTCCTCCTAATGATGTAATCGGAGCACCTATGCTGCCCGATACGGAGCCATTCAGGAAGAATACTCTCCGGTTTCCCTCTTTGTCAAGGCTGATGTATGAGAATTTTGAGTGTCGTAGCAGAGTAGTACTACATAGCGAGTCGCCTATGGAGTAGTTGGGAGCTTTCAACTCACCTCGATAGTGTATTTTCCCAGAAATTGCTAGAGAAGTCCCCCCTACATCCCAGAGTTCTCAAAACGAGGTTTGCAAGAAGATTTTGTGATAAAATCTGTATACTCTGCTGCCACAAGCCTCAGTTGGTGTCTAATGACCAAACCCTACAGCCTCAGGTTGTGCAAACACCCCTGTATCAGGGCGAAGATCAGTGTAATGGTCTGCTTACAGACCAACTGAGCCTAGCACCTTCGTGTCACTAAAATACAATAGAAAGGATCGATATCTTGAATCGTTGTTATAGGGTTATTGACTTATATATTCGCGAGCAGTCCGCTCGAAAACTCACAAAGGCAGACGTCTTCTTGCGCCGTTCTTCTGACCTTTCTGTCCCCCTGATCTCACGTACCAAGCTCTTGCGTGAACGTGCAGGGATACCAAGCGTCAAGCCCTCTTGCGTTCCTGCACACGAAATTCTTTCGATCTTAAAACCGTGTCTTCACCGACAACGTCAGAATAGAAGGTCTCCACAGGGTTGCCTCCACTTCTGTTTCCAAATCAAATTATGGTAGTAATGGCCGCTCGCAGCCAGGTCGAATGTATTCTGACATGCGACATATACCGAGCAAGGTTTTGCTGGTTGCTGAATTTGACCGCCATAATAGCTACCATCATCGTCCATCTCTCGTTCGTATCACCCGTCTGTTTGCCTGCCTTTCAAGTTTAGATGTCCGAAGCTGAATCAATCCACTGGTGCTTAATTGCTTCTTCCTGAAATTTGGAAATGAGTTCATGGTCATGTCAAAATCTAACGGTTCAGCCTAGGTTTGATTCGGTAGACATAACTTGATTGGTCCAGACAAGGACGACTGGAATATTGTAATTGGTCAACCTTGAGCCTCACAGCCACCTGACAGGCATTCATGCCCTTGTTGCGGGCATACCGGGCATACAAGGCCCAATAAGCATGTCGGCCCCAACGCACCCACGTACTCGAAGACATCGTCTCACCTCAATTCACTCCAGACTAACTCACTCCTTCCTTCTACCCACATACCCACACCGATCTTTGCAAGAAATTCTCCATCGATACTATGGGCGCACTTCAAGCAACTCCTTCCAGCTGGTCTCGCCAGGACGTTCTCGCGCTCCTCCAGTTGCTCACCATGATTCTGATATCCACGATAGGCGCCTTCTGGCACTTGATCGTTTTACGGCCCCACCGCGGTGAGTGAGTGATCGTGAGATCAAGCCGGAAGTAACATCATCACAGCATGCGCCTAATCGTACTACAGGTGTGCGCTATCGACGTCCCACTCCCACCGCACCTGCCCCAGACCCATCATGGCGCCAGACGAATTGACCAAGGTCAGACGACAAGTACAAGAAGAAGTATGGTCGGAGAGGGGGACCTTGGGCAAGGGACCCTGTATCGTAACGCTTCTCTCGTTCCGTTGAAATCAGGAATAGCTTCTCGAGCGAGTCGCCAGGTATGATACCACCAGAGCAGGCATAGTAGAGATAGATGGGCGAGATTGTCGCTAGACGTAGGAGATATCTTACACTGGCCACGTTATCAAGTGCGACGCCTCCAGAGCTTTAACAATGCTCTTGTTGATAGCAAATACATCCATATATCTCGTTCGCTGCTCGCCGGTTCCCAGTTCTTGAACGAGTATCCCGCGGGTATTCCAGTACGCCAAGAAATCTCATCCCTGAACATCCAAAATCGTACGCAACGTTGCCATTCGTCCCATCTTCAGTGTCCTTCTCTTGTACGTCAAGCTCCCACCCCAGGTATGCTCACCCCGCCGGCCGCGAGATTCAGTCCCGCCCCACCTCTTCGCGCGCCCACAAACCCATGCCTCTGCCGTCCCGTTCTTCCTCTGCCTAGCCAGTTGTACTTCAGCTCCCTAGTCAACTTGCTCATTTTCTCCTGCGCGTCGTCGCCAGACTGCAGACTGACCAGCACACTGACGCACTGCAACATCCTGCCCACCGTCTCCGTGACCTTTGCCGAGTCCATGGGCTGCGCGCGTAGTGAGGCTGGAATGTGTTGGCCGGGCTGGAGGAATGTCGAGGGATTGGAGTGGATCGAGTGTGCGGAGAAGGAGCCGGCGGAGGTGTTGGAGGTAGCGCGGGAGCGGGTGGAGGCGAAGGTGGAAGAAGTCATGCTGTTTGTGGATTCGAGATAGCCGCCTGAGCTGTGTGACGCAGACTGTAGACTCCCTAGTGGCGCTCCTTCTGAGCCTGCAGTCCCAGGGCGGGCATCTGGGATCGGAGAAGGCGATTCGAGGCCTGCGTTAAGATTTTCCAAGGAGAGACGAGAGAAAATCGCCATGAGGGTATCAAACCGTGGTAGGATAACAATATCGCGGAACATAAGTAGAGTGATGCGACGGACATCGAGTTCGCCCAGAATAGGTATGTTCTTGTTTTCAGGGGATTTCGTGTTCATCTCATCTGGTAGTTTCACACCCCAGAATTCGGCCGCCGCTGTGGATGACATGATACCCGAGCCGCGAAACTCTAAATCCAATGGTAAGAAGACAGCTTGAATGAAAGGGAGGATGGTGGTGAAAACTACAATCCACATCTCGACCAGATGGGGAATCAGTCGGTCGTCGGGAACGTGTCTTAATGTTTGATCTAGCGAGCCAAACCCAGTCATGAGAAGTTCGTTGAGATCTTCGATGAGTATGATAGGCGAGCGTTTCTGGATACACCGTTTGATGTGGACGATAACCAGCGCGTTGAAATCCTCGACTGGGGGCCTGGGGTCCTCGCCTGCAAAGATGAGCAGAAGTGTGGCTTTCAACAACGGCCAAGCATCATCGGGAGTTATCCCAGGCAGATTGAAAGAGCTTCCGAGGGTATGCATGGCGTCGCTGGATTGTGACAGTGCAGCACTGGAAGAAGGCCCGAAGGTGCTCATTGGTGTAGTGCCGACACTGCCCGCAGACGGCCATTCCGACCTATCTGTGCTGAAGGATTGTTTGCGATCCCGGAACGCAGGTTCGAGCTGTGCATCCAAGTAGGCCTTCTCTTCCTTCTTGGCGCGCCTCAGGTGACGCCCGCCATGCCTCAAGTCCAGCCCAGTCACGGAGTTGGCAAAGCTGCTAGCATGTCCGGGCGATGCAGGCGCGGCAAACGAGTATAATGGCTGAGGGGCATTCGGGTCGACCAGTCGCGAGGTACTGCTCGCCGAAGACAAGGGCAGGATGTGGTCGTCCTTCTCCTTCTTCTTCGGCCGCGACAGGAAATGGTGCTTGTGCTTGTCCCTGTCCTTCTCGTGCACTGTCGGGAGGTAGGAGTCATTCCGCGGGACCAGCGTCGATGTCGAACCGTTCGCAGTCGAATATATTGACGCAGCACTGCTCATGCTGGGTTCCACCAGGCTGGTCTGCGAAGGGTTCATCATCATGCGGTTCAGCGCTTGCGAACTGTGGATGCCGATTCCGATTTTGCCGGGCGACGGCAGGGCTTGGTGTTTCTGCTCCAGGCCTTTGTCCGTCTTGATGTTCTTCGGCTTGGAGAAGAGCTTCATCTTGCTCTTCTCCTTGGCCTTTGGTTGCTGGGCCAGGTCGGCTGCCGCCGGCTTCGGCGAGCCGTGCTCTGGCGGCTGCTGCAGGTTGGGTGAGTGCAGAGGGCTCCGCGGGTAGGCGGCGTTGGCAGCAGACGCTGCGGCCATCCTGCCCCCACCGGCCAGCCCGTTCTGGTACGTCATGCCGTTCGTCCTGAACGTCACTGTGTGCTGGCCGGGCACGGGCGGCGGGCTCGAGGGCCCCCGTGCCGAGGGTACGGAGGCGCCGGGCTCTGGGATGGTCGTCGAGCGCTTGCGCATGTGCTGGGGTTGCATGGCTGTCTGGGCGGCGATGCGCGAGGCGTCGAGGTTGGACATGCTGGCCTGGTTCGAGGGCAGGCTGGGCTCGAAGTAGCCCTGCGAGCGCTGCCGCGGGCGGTGTCCTAGCTGGGGCCCGGGATGGGCGGGCTCATCGCGGTCGCGCGGGGGTGCAGGGCGCGAGTAGTTGGGCGTTGCGTCGCCGGGCTGCGGCTGGGGGGAGCGGACGGCGCGACGCGGCAAGGGAGAGCGGCGCTGCAGCGTGACCTGCGAGCTGTCGCTGTCGGACTCGTCGAAGGCGTCTGGCCGCTGGATCGTGGGCGTCTGCGGGGGAGGAGACGTCGACTGCATGGCGGCGCCGTGCGACGGGCTGCGCCGCGGTACAGCAAGGAGGAAGAGGCTACGGGAACAGTGTCACGGGCATATGCTACACGGCAGGTCAATCGTGGCCAGCACGACTGCGGGTATCGAGAACGGACGGCGCAAGGAGAGCAGAGGACAGACAGGCGACGTCGAAGCTGACGACGAGCCCGTTGCTGGCCTGGTTGCCGATTGATCGCCGCTAGGGCTGCCCCGAAGCCCCACGCACACTGCATGCACGACACGGTTGGCCTTTCCCTAGCCTACCCACAATTCGCTGTGCCACCAGCCGCCGGATAGACGATCGTTGCATTGCTAGCACAACTGCTGGTACAAGCGTCAAATGACTGCCTTCTACTTCCACGCCACGACCTCGTACTGTACAATGTGATGCACTCCATCCGGATCCTCCCTCCACCTCTCCAGGTCCCTCACCATCAGGTCGACATCCTCCTTACTCGCCCCAAGCGCCTCGTACTTCTGCCTGTGCCCGCCCTGCTCCATCCTCGCAATCATGTGCCCCGCATACACCTTCCTCTCCTCAGGAGTGCTGTACATCGTCACCCTCGCACTCTTCTCAATTTTCAACGGATCGAAGCCTGCTTCGCGTGCCCACACGTGTATCATCGACCCGCTGCGATGGTCCGGGCCATGTGGAGGTAGATGCGGTTGAGCGGACGACGACTTTCGCCGCGTAATAACCTACTTTCCAGTTAATCACATCCTGCCAAGCCTCCTGCTGAAGCAGAAAGTAGAAATCGAGAGAATATCTCTTACCATCTCGTATTGGTACTTGCTTTTCAACTGCAGACCAGGGAGGTACGGGTACCAGTGGAACGGGAAGTCGCCCTCGCGATCGGCGATGAAACCGCCCGTCTTCAGCACCCGCCTCAATTCTTTCAGCGCCTTAACCGGCTCTGGGATATGGAGAAGCACCTGGCTCATCCAGACGACATCGAACGTCTCGTCTGCAAAAGGCAGGCCCTCGAGCACATTGCCCGTAGAAAACTCGACGTTCTTAGGTGCACCTCCATTCTGTTGCTCTGCGAGCTGCTTTGCCTGGGCAATGATTTCAGGTGTGAGGTCGACGCCAGTGATGGAACCTTGCGGGACATGGTTTGCAAGTCCCGTGGTGATGGTGCCGGGACCGCAGCCCATGTCCAAGATGTGGAAGTTGGGTTTGAGACGCGGAAGGAGAAAGGCTGCTTCGTTTTCAGCCGTGCGAGTGGCATGATTGGCCGTGACTGAGGGATGCCAGCCTTGCTCTGCGTAAAGTCAGTGTCTAGAGTTTGTGTGTGGACGTGATTCAATTTGAAAGTAACACTTACGGTAGGGCTTCTCTTCTTGGTCTTTGGTAGACATCGTATAGAAGCTGTGCTTGTGTAGCTTGGAACTTGTGCTAGGAGTACGATATCGAAGTCCTGGTTCGATTACTCTTTCTTTGTGGCAAGACTTATCTATTAGAGAACTGAAAAGTTGATGATGGAATGGAAAGAGGCAAGTGGCCGAAGAGAGCATATATATACTTTTTCAGCCCCAAAACTTCTATCTCTGGACCCGCAGCAGTACGTATCGGTCACAAAGTCTCATTGATACCTCCAATCAGGGGAACAGACAACACATCGAGGACTGTAACTGAACTCAAGTTGCTAAGCGTTCTGTGCAAGCCCGGATTTAGTGGCGCCCTATCGCCACTAGCGTCGGTGTTCCGAAGCAGGTGTCGGTGTACCGACGGACCAATCGACCACTCATATCACTGCCTGCACGATACTATGGGTTCTGGATCTGCTCAAGTTGAGGAAGAATGGTGAATGATTTTATTCGCGTAGCAGTACAAAGTTAGGTACTCAAGGTACACCAAAAAGCCACCAAAATCAGCTATGCGTCTCAAAGCAAAGTGCTACCTTAATGGCTTCCAACCCTCAGATTGAGATGGACCCGCATCACGTTGTCTTATCAACCTCCAAGACGTATTCACAGCTCCGCGTGCGTCCTGACTCCCCACTTCTCCAGCAAATTATGCCTGTGCCAGAAGCTCCTGTACCTCTTCCCCCAGAAGAAGAAAATCGGTGCAGTGCCCACCATGGCAAAGCTCAGACCTCCAAACACATAGAACACCTTGGCTGGGCCCTCTGTCGCAGTCCAATCATTGACAAAGTAACTGAAGCCATAGAAAACGAAGTTCTTGAACACCATGCCCGCGATAAAAATCTCGGACGACATGTCGCGATATGCGTCGATGGCATATGCAGAAGTGGAGATGGCCGCACAGCATATCCCAAACAGATCCATACCGTGGAACGTCGCCGTCGCATAGTACGAGTAGTGCTTCTCGGCCATGTAGCCGAAAACCATAAGCCCGACACCTGTAAGCAACCCGGGAATCATACCGAGCAGGCGGTATTCCGGCTCGTAGATGCCGTTGTTCTTCTTTGCGCACCACTTAATCAAAGGATCAAGCGTCACGCCGAGAAAGATGGCACCGAGTAGTCCGCCGATGAAGGGACCGAGAGACAAGTAGCCGACTCCGGCTGCGGAGAGGAGGTACGGGGGAGCCATGAAGATTTGCGCCATGTCATAGGATTGCGCCACAAAGAAGGCGGTCAGACCGCCTGTAACGATGACGATCCAGAGGATGGCGAGGTTGGTGCATACAGCGAATGGAGCGATCAAGAGCTGGAAGAGGTTGTCGTCGGAGAAGGTACCATTGAACACGGACATTTCCTGGACAAACGTCTTCTTTGGTCGGAATGCAGGCGGCATGGAAGTCGTGGTCTCTACACGGACAATGTCGTTGTCAGAGCCTTTTTCTTTCTCACCTCCAGCGTGACGACGCTCGACTGCTGCGAGCTCAGAGAGATTATCGACGGCCAGCTCGTCGATTTCGTATCGACGGTCACGGATGTAGGCTGTCTCCGGGACGAAGAACACGAGCAAGACGGTCTCGAGGGCAGTGAAGGCTATGAGGATATGGAAAAGATAGCGCCACCCGAGATTCGCCGTGATAGGGCCTACAATTATAGCCGAGAAGTTGCTGGCGGCTCCTAGGATGAATTGGATAACGGTCACCCAAATACCACGCTGGTGCACGAAAAAAAGATCGCCAATGATGGATACGACAAGTGACTCGAAAGCAGAGCTATATCAAGTTAGCGCAACCTACAAATCGACTGTGAAAGCTGCGATGCTGTGGTACTGCACTCACATTGAAAAGCCCTGTACGATACGCGCCGCCAAGAGGCCGTTATAGCTGTGGGTAGCGCTCCCAATGACGGTTCCTATCAAGCCGAAAACGCTTGAGACGATAAGAATGGGTCTCTTTCCCCACTTGCGCGAGAAAGCAGACACAAAAGGCCCCGAAGCTGCCGTTACCAGAAGCATGTATCCCGAGATAACCGTGATGTCAGCTACAGCGACTTGGAAGTCTAGCGAAATCGTGACCAATGCTGGCGAGAGAAGGGGAGCGAGTACGGCGGCGTAAAGAATGGACCCATACGAAATGACTGCCATGATGACAAGTTTCTTCGCAGTTGGCCAATTCAATGGATCGTTAGGATCCTCGGAGCTAATGGAAGTCAGAATTGAAAACGGAGTGGGCGCTCTGGGGAGCATACGGCTGGGGAATCAAGACAATATCTTGATCTTTGCCCGTACCGTGCTTCAAGCCTGCGGTCGCCTCTGTTCTTTGATTCTCCTCTTCGGCTAGGACAACGGTGGCCGGGACATGCTGAAGGTGTTTATCCTCCAAGACCCCAAGAAAACCCATGATGGTGTGGGCAATCAATGAGATGACCGTGAGCGATAAGGGTAGAGATGGGTCACGATGCGGAGTATTGTTGACAGTTGGTGATGCAAGCGCAAGTTCGCGCAGGATGAAGGATCCAGATCAGCATGGGCACAGGACGCGGACCTGATACATAATGCGAAGCTAGGCCGTGCCATGGCGTCTTGGTGCGCTTCCAGTCCCTTGGGGAATTGATCAGATGTACACAGGCCATCCGCTGGCCTGCAGACCCTGTGGGGTGCAGCTACTATGCCCCACACGAGCAGGCGTTTGTTCGGATGCGGCGATTTAGCGTTGGAGAGCCCCTGTCTGCACAAGAGTGCAAGTACAGGGCATCATTCTTCCAGAGCTCAACAATCTGCAGGGTCAGCGATCGCATATAGTCGCCTGCCGCGAAAGTACAGGATCTTGTTTTCTGTTATTTGGATACATAGCCCTGCGACCGATTCCGAAAGAAGAATTTGGTGGTGAACCTTTGTTGAAGATTCCCAAGACATTCCCCAAAACCGAGCGCGGCTGTGGAGACATGGCGCTTCCCCGCAAATGTACTGCCCGCCCCACAGACCGAGTCAGCCGAAACCCAAGAACAGCGTCGCAAATGTCCACAGCAGTGCCGGGATCCAGACTCCATCTACCCCAACGCCTCGCGCCATGTTCCAGCTTTGACGACGGAGAAAGCTATGTTGACTTCCGTCTGATCCCGTGGGGCCAAAACGAGCAGATTGCCTTGCCCAGCTGGTCGTGGCAGCAATTTCGAGGGTATCCATCGATGTCCAACAGGATCTCTACGAGCGTCAGTACAGCGCGCCCTTTGGATCGAGTGCGCATAGCCGAAAAGCTGTGGAAAGCTCCCAAATCCAACGGTAGGTACACTTTCTTCACCATCGTGGTTATGTTGTCGTGGATCATGCAACTCAAGCAGTGAACATCAAGATGAGGATCGGTGGCACAATCATGAACATGAAGTCATCCTCCCCCAGCTGTTTGCCCTTTCTGCGTCTTCGACAGATCTTTTTGGGCGTCTCTTCTTTTATGAATCGCGAGATTTCGACCCATAGATGCGACTTGAAGCTTCTTTCACCCTTACAACCCAGTCTGCATCGGCTTTCTTGACGGCTTGTTCGTAGGTGTGCGCACTCCAGATCGATCCAGGCCTTAGGTAAAATGGAGAGTACGACTGATGCCTGCGTCCCGTTTGAACATCAGACGTTTGTATGTTGGAGGACGCGCAATCGCCTTCACGCGGTCAGTGCTCGACATCACCAACGCTTGATTGCCACACGATCTCCTACGTTCGTAGCAGCCGGATCACATCCTTGGGTTCTGGTAGGTGGACTGGATTCTAGATGTATTTTGGGCGCCAGTAAAAAACAGAAAGCCTTTTAATCCATACGGGTGAATTGACGCTGTGCAAGGCCGGTGAGAATCATCAGCTTCAGGGGTTGGTCTTAGTGGTCAGCGCATGCGTGATGCGTGCTTGCAGACGCTATGGAACCCCTGATAGCCTTCGTGGCTAGGAATTCTTATATGGCGACCACCTAATACTTGCAGAATATGCTGCACTTAGGCTGAAGGTTGGCACAACCGGCTTGCGGGGTTGAACCGGATTTTGTGGGAGATGGCACCTCACACTCGTCGTGGTAGACATGCGCGAGTGGTAGCCCAGGCGGCGCACCCTTCTTGAACTTCATGGCCATATCGTATTGCTTGACGCAGGCGGGTGTTGATGGCACCTCATTATAGGCATGTTAGGATGGTGGCATAACCTCGTCAAAATCGCCAGATGCTGCAAGGAAACAACTGCCAAGGTTGACCGACGGATAGACGAAATCACCTGGACGTAGCCGATGCTTGATAAAACATTGCCGCGCAACTTGTTCAGCGCAGTAGCCTCAAGTGTTACCTTTGGCTTGTCCCTGGTAATATCAGCATATCCGATGGCGTACGAGTCATGCAGTACGCGTCTCGGTGAATGAGCGCTGGTGACATTTCCCACTTCTCTTCAAGTCGCAAGTCGCTTTTATTCCGGGGCCCACTCATTGTATTGCTGCGTTGCATACTCTTTTGAATCGGATTGGGAGCAATCATCTGCCTCCTACTAATATGATGAAGACAGGCAGAGCCATGTTAGGACCGTCTTTCCAGCAGAAGAGGCATTTGGTAGTAGCGAACACTGCTTAGGCTCGGCCCGACCAAAGGTGAAATCTCGGGCTTCGTCATGTCGCGTGAATCCGGCAAACGGGACACGTAGGTATGTGGGCATCGAAGATAACCTGTCATGGTTCAACTTTACAGACGTACCATACGATGCGTTACTAGAGGATATACAGTCGTTACGAGTGGGTTGTTGACTTTGAGGGTGCACCTATAGCTTCTGTGGCCCAAGCTTCCGCGTCTTATCCGTCACGAGCCAAGCCGAACCGTGCTTTTTGCATCTGAACACGCTACGACAGCTTCGCAAACTCCGTCTCTTGTTCCATCATGATCCGCTCCTAGATCTGTTGAAGGACGTTATAAATCCCTTGCTTATCACGCAATTCGGTGTTTACATCGCAGAAACACAAAACCCAAAGCTCGCCCGACTTGTCCAATGGGAATATCGCATGACCTCATGGGTGCAAGGGTTTACAATCGTGGGTCTGCGATGGTCATACTATAAAGATCTGGAGGTGCTCCTCGGAGCAATCCTCACGCTGAGCATCTCCCTTACGAAACAACCTATACTTCCTTTCTCGTATATCCCCGACCATGTTGGCTCTCACCAGCGCAACTGGCAAGTTGGGAAAAGCCGTCATCGACGCTGTTCTCGAGAATAAGCTCGTCGATCCATCGGAACTCGTAGTATGCGTAAGTCAGCCTAATGCCCACCTGAGCGCGACGAGCCAGGCCGCAAGCTGACGCGATGGGCCAGACATCCTCCGATCCCCTTGATGCGCGATTCGATGCTCTGCGTGACCAGAGCATTACCGTCCGCTACAACAACTTCGATCAACCTGAGTCGCTCGAACGTGCCTTCGCAGGATGCTCGAAGCTGTTCCTCGTCTCCACCCCGCGAATCTCCATGGACTACAACGATGCGCCGCTGTGGCAAGGCCGCGAAGCACACCACCGTGCAGCCATCGATGCGGCGGTCAAGGCTGGCGTCAAGCACATCTACTACACGTCCTTGGCTTTCGGAAACCCTTCAAAAGCGGGTGTTATGCGAGCGCATATACGCACGGAGAAATACTTGAGCGACCTCGCAGACAAGGGTAAAGTGGACTATACCATCATCCGCGAGGGTTTATACAATGAGAGCTGGCCGCTGTACTTCGGCTACTACTTTCGGCTGCGGGACGAAAAGAGACATCAGGTCGTTGTCGCTGGTGATGGGCCCATTTCATGGACGTCTATCGCCGATATGGCATTCGGCACGGCACAAATCATCTCGGCGCCCAGCGACACCTGGAAGGGGAAGACGCTATATCTTTCACAAACCGAGACTTGCTCCCTGGAAGATATAGCGCGTAAAGTCAGCAGTGCCCAGGGCCAAGACATCCACCTCAAGGTTGTGTCAAAAAAAGAGTACGAGGACCATTACGCCGCAAGCGGTACTGAAAGGGCTTCGGTCGAGTGGTGGAGCAGTACTTATGAAGCTTTGAAGAATGGTGAATGCGACATTAAGGATGATACGCTCAAAACTATGTTGCGAGAGGCAGGAAGGGAACCCACTTCTATAGATGAGACCATTGCTAAAATGCTAGGAGGGGAAGGAGGTCAGATTGTTGGATAGGTGGATAGTGAAGGTGTGTAGAACAGATCTGAGGCTATTGTTCGACCGACTCCAACGAGTCGATCGCTCCAACAACGTTCCGAGGTACGTGATGCAGCCGTTCTCAATCAATTAGGTAGGTAACGCTGCGATCGTTTAACGCACAATCTCTTCAAGAACCGATTACTCAATTGATGGGGACAATTTCTTTTGGGCAATTCTTCCCGACGCTCTACCGAGTTGTTTGTTCATCGCTGTCGCTGAATCGCGCCCGGAAGTGAATGCGGGGTTCCCACCCATGCGAAGGCCTTGGTAGTACGCGCCGCGGGGAAGCTGTTTTTCCTGGTCCTTCCGGCATGTTTTGGCAAGCCCTTTCGATTATTCTAGTCCCACTCCCAAGCCGCATGTCGTGCGCTTTGTGATACTTCCCTCCATTCAGCAAGGAACCATCACTAGACGCAGCCAGACGAAGAAGGCAACGACATGGCTACCTTACGAGGAAACGCTTTGTCTCTGCTCCTACCATTTCAAGTGTTCAGAGCAGTGACAAATGAACCCCTCATAACCGGGCCTCTGCTTTACATACTCACCCGCGGTCCCGTGCACATCCGCGAACGCATCCTCGAGCCGTTCCGCAAGAACCTCTTGGCGAAGAATGGCGCATCGCGCATCACGACGACCATCGCCATTCTCAAGGTATATTTCATCATCGGAGTGCTCCGTCGTTTCAATCAAGTAATGAATCGTATTGCGTTGAACGGCTGGGCACTGCGACGACAAGGCGAGCCGTTCGTGTTCGGTCCCACGAAACAAGAGTTGGTCGTGATTACCGGAGGCAGCTCAGGATTTGGGTACGAGATGGTGAAGGCTTTCTCAAACCTTGCAAGAGTTGTTGTGTTCGACGTGAATGACCTGCCACCAGAGTTGGAGACACGTGAGTTTTCCAACAGGATGTTCCTGAGATGTTGCCAGTTACTCGCCCATGATTGCCCTTTTTTAGGGACGTTAGGGAAATGATTATCATGTAACGGCACTGTATGATTGACCATATGCACTGACACGGCCCAGTGCCCGGTGTACACTTCTACCGGCTCGATATATCGAAGTTCAAGAAGGTGGAGGAGGCTTGTGCTGATGTAAAGAGAGTACATGGCGACCCCACTGTTCTGATCAACAATGCCGGCATTGCTAACAAGAAGTCCATACTCGAAGTAAGCGAATCTTCACTCACATCGCAAGGAGACTAACAAAAATATAGACCACCAACGAAGAAACCGATAGGCTGTTCCAAATCAACATTATCGCACATTTTACTTTGATTCGTGAATTTGTTCCAGCCATGCTTCGCATGCGCAAAGGTCACGTTGTTACAATCGCCTCCATGGCATCTTTTGTAGCGGGCGAAGGCCTTGTTGACTATTCCTGCACAAAGACTGGAGCTCTCTTCCTCAACGATGGTGAGTTCCCCTCAGGTCTTCCACATAATGATTGTTCACAACCTTCAGGCCTTCGCCGAGAGCTTCAACGCATTTACGTCGGCGGTGAAGCCATATGTACAACGTCTGTCCATCCTTCATGGTACCAGACAGGCATTTTAGCTGGCGCTGAGGAAGCATTGGCCAAGCGGGGAATCAAACCACGTCCACCGGTCGAAGTATCCGATGCTGTTGTTGAGCAAGTTCTGAAGGCTAGGAGTGGACGTCTTGTTGTCCCGGCAGGGGCCGAGATGTGGACTTCAATCCGAACATGGCCACTGTGGCTGCAAGACATGGTAAGCGGGCTTGGTCGAAGAAACACTTTGAAGCAGTGAACGTGACTCATGGTGGGTTTGCATCTGCTTCTTTCAGAATGACTAAACTGCTGGTTGGAAGTGGTGGAAATTGCTCCTATGTATCCTAGTCGATTATTTCGTCTCTATTCAATGGTCGTACCACAACCAAAGCGATTTTGCGCCCCTAGCAAGCCACTTGACCGATACAATGATGCTTCAAGTTGTAGTGATGGTCATTGACGTGTCCGGATTTCCAGATGAACTCTGCTCCTCTGCCTTGCGACGTTTCGACTCTGCTATCACTTCGTTCAAATCTTTCTTTAAGTTTGCCCAGAAATCTTCTTCCGGGTCTTGATCCACGTTGAGTTCGGCCAGAGCCTGATCTCCAAGCCCTGGTCGGCCGAGAAAACTGTCGATCAGGTAAGAGATGCTCCGAATCGTAGAACAAACAAGACTCGAGCCAAGTATGGAGACCTGAAAAACGAATTGGCTTATAACCACTAGCCCAGTTTCGACACCTAAAGGTTTCGTCACATGTTCTATCATCCACTCGTCGACATTGTCCACGTAGTGGAGCACAGTGCCTGGTGTTTTGTATGACTTCTCGACGTATTCGGAGAATCTCTTTCCCGTCTGCACCCAGGAGTCGTAAGGTTCGATTTGTTCGTACAGCCGGTCTCCAGCCACCATGGACAGCATCTGCTGCTTAGGACTAGGAAAAGTGGATATGGGCAGGCCAGTAAACTCATCCTTCAGGGGGAACTCGATAAGCCTGACTGTTACCGGACGAAGGTGTCTCCATTGAGCCGAGTACGTGAGACCTTCCTCTAGGTCTTCTGGGTTTGGGGGACCATCCTCGACCTGGAAATGTAATAGCGCTGGACTCTGGGTGGACCAGACGCCGCACAGGAAACTTGCAGTATCGCCACACATGGCGAAGTGAAAGCCGCTCTCATTCAAAGTCGGATGAGCATGGACGTACTCCAGCACACCGTTGAAAGCCGTGTCCCAAGTGTTAAATCCCGGAAACGCCAGATTAGAAAGGTACAACCACTGTTCGCGGGGTTTTCCAGCATGGGTGCGACAAGAAGTATCCCGCATGAGGGTTTCAAGATTTGCGTGCTTGTCGATGGGAATGGTGAGATCGTTGGGACTGCTGTACTCGCGTGGAAGGACGAAACCGAGCTTATGCAACCAATCGTTGCTGTTGACCCTCACCAGGTGGAAATCGTTGTAAGTGTCCATGAACTTGCGAAATGATGGCGCATCTCCTCCTACACCCCAATCCTCCAGAACGTCCTTCATATCTTCCAGTAGCTTGTTGGTATTATCGTCAATGTGTTTTTGGTACCAAAGCGTGAAAGAAATGCCGTTGATGGTGCCGAAGAAAATAGGAAATATGGTCAGTGGAAGCGTTAGGAAGAACAGCCATATGATGAGTCGTGTAGGCCATCTTAACGTTCTAGTGAGGAACCGAAACATTGTTGTGAGTCGTGAACACGATGCTGCGCCGCGAGAATTATATTTGCGCGAATCCTACCGAGGGCAAACTTGGAGGTCAGGGTCTCTCAGGCAGCAGCCAATAGGGAGGCAAGGGCGTAAGTCTAACTAGCTCTTTTGGGAAAGGCCTGGTTCTGGGTTTCGCGCACGTTGGGCGAAATGATGGATGTTGCCTGAATGATCAATACAATAGTGCAACAGGGTAGGCATGATTATTTTAACTCTCACCTATGGTTGAGCCTATCGTAGGTTTTCAAGAGCCCAAATTGCACAACATGTGGCAGTGATCAGAAATACCATTATATGTTGCTATGCCGTCTGCCAGAAAAGCGTCTTAGTATCTCAATAAACTCAATAAACTGGTATCGTAACGCATATCATAATACCCGCCAAAAGTAACGCCGTTCTGCAATGCAAAAATGCTGAGAAAACAGAAACCACTAGTATGCAAAGCTCTCGGTATGGAGGTAGATGCCTTGAGCACCTGTTCCCTTGTGCACCGCCCGCTCATCGCTCAACGAGCAAACGTCTTGCTTCACGTCCCCCACCAAGCCTTGCGGTCCGCACACGACAACCGCCGATTCGCCCCAGGCCTGTTCTAGTGACCTTCTGATGATATCTCTTGGATTCGGTCGACCAGCAAACACAGATATTGAGGGGTGCACAAGTGGCTTACCTTCTGTACTGGAAGGGTTAGATGATGTGTTGGATGTCGGCCGTGTTTTTAGGGCTTGATCGCTCGGTCCGCAGCACGAACATGTCGTTTGTCTGTTTTCAAGTGATGTCTCATCAACTGTAGTCTTGCAGCAGCATGTTCCATTGGGACCACAGGACTTCGTCTCTGTGGCTCTGACCTCGGTGATTTCGTCAAGAGCATCTCCCGATTTGCCTTTTTCGTCCAGCGAAGGTGTTCGACTGCGAAGTTCAACTGGTCCATGCTGTGGCTCCTTTGAAGCGGTGGTTCTTGACAGTATGTTCTTGTGTTCTTCGGTGAAGGTCTCGTCACAGGTTACGTAAATTGTAATCTCCAGCTTGATATGCCTCAGGTCGGTTTGCAAAGCCTGGGAATCGGAGTATACGGAGGAAAGCTGTTCGGCGAACCATCCAAGCTGGCCTCGGCTCTTGACGACCCATATGAATCGCACGTGGCGGGTGACGGCACCGGTTTGTGGTTGAAAGAGTGACTTCGCATCCTTTGCAGTGCTCGCATTCTCCTTCCACCCCTGTACAATATCCCTTAGGAGAGGAACGGTAAACGTAGCGCCGGTGCTGCCAGCAAGTAGCACGACGCTATCAAATTGACGCAGTGGTCTCAAAGTCCCGTATGGGCCTTCTATGGCCACTGTCTTGTTTCGTGATCTGTCCGACTTTGTGGGAAGCCCGTGATACTTCTCGGCGTGTTTGAAGAAACTCTTTGTCCCACCGGATTCAGCTTTGACTAGGAATTCCATCATTCCATCTTCTGGGATAGAGGCGATGGTGAAAGGATGGCTCTGTAGCGGAATGATAGAGTGGCAAGACAAAAACACATGCTGGCCCGGTGTCCAAGAAACCGGCGGGTTTCGTATGACGATCCGTGTGGTTTTGTGCGGTAATGGCATGAACTCAGCTTTGCACGCCCAGAATCCAGACGTTTCCCCACTCTTCCGTTGTCGCGGGTGGAACCAAGAGATGTTCAAATACATGACGCGCAAAACACGAACAAGTCGGTCAAACCACCACAGAGCAATGGGTACCCAGATATACACATGGACTTCCACAGGGGTATGGATGTAAACGAAGCCGATCAGGACTGCGAAAGAGACTAGATGCTGCAAGACGAACACCTCGTATGACCAGCCACGGATTGGGGACATGGAGCTGAAGACCATCCAAACGAGTACGGCCCATGCCACGATGCCTTTCCACACAAGCGTATTTTCCCTCAGCTGCGTCCCAATATAGTTGTAGGGTGCCCAGTCGGCGAAAAAATAGCCCATATGGATGGTGGCAGTCAAAAGCAAACATCTGGCACACCAGCGGTGTAACCAGTTGAGGCGCTCGTGGCTGACACCGGTCGCATAGCCGATGAGGTTGTTCTTGCCTGCCAGGAGGAAAATGAGTGGGAATTGCGCAATGGTGACGAATCCGCATCGATATCCAATGTTTTCTCTCGACCACCTGTCGTTGAGGTCGAATCCGTAGAAGCATAGCACGAGTAAGACCACGATGTTGGCGAGTACCAAGAAGACGCGGCCGACGGTCGGCAATCGTAGGAAGCGGTCCTTGAAGGGTATCCGTACGGAGAAATTGGACGCTTCTCGCGTGAGGGCAAAAGTAGTCGCGATTGACACCATCAACCAAGATTTGGGTTTTGCAGGTCGTGGTGCACCTGCTCGAGCGGACGCGAGCCTGGAACAATCAGCAATGTGTCTAGGACATGGAATGATGCACGTACCTCTGTCTGTAGAGGATCTTGTTGAAAATATTGACCACCGTCGCGATGCCAATAGCAGTACCTACCACAGCCCAGTAATATTTTGGGAATTCAATGAGCGGAGCCATGCCACCCATTGACATGGAGCCCATGGCCATGCCTGACGAGTCCATGATCTCTGGTGTTGCGCCACGCGCAGAACTGCAGAAACGACGTAATAAGAGCTGATCGTGTCAGAAGGTCAGATCAGAAGCAAAACACTGGACCGTGGTGTGTGATGTGCTTCGGCCTGTGCCCAACGGGATGAACTCTATCAAGTAGGACGAGAAGTAGAGTTGTCGCAACGCTGCCTGTCTGCCTGTGAACTGTCGGATATGCGAGGCTCGGCCATGTATGACATGAACAAAGCAACTCTTCTCGGAGGAAATAATCTTCTCAATGAGGTGGTTGTTGCTGCGTCTACAGGCGACGTTGGTGCCGTCGCAACCGTCAATGGAGCAGAAGCTGGTGGTAGAGACGTCAGAAGAACTCGCTCAGAAGCCACTGGCCCGACGTCGCACTTGTGGCGGACAGCTGCCGTCGGTATGGGCCTGGTATTCACTGCAAGCCGCACATGTGGTCGCAGGGTGGACGGAGGGACATCTGCCCGCTTGCAGCTAGCGTTGGCGTGCACCCCTGTCAATTAACTTGCTCATAACTTGCTCAGAGTGGGCGCGACTATGGCCTCGCCGCCACCTCTGCAAGCAGCAGCATGCGCCTCGGACCTGGCACCATGAGTGCAGAAGAAAGGGCTATTGCACGCCTGTCCCAGTCACACGGCAGTGCGCGCATAATATCATCGCTGCACCCGCGTGGGCCGCACAGCTAAGGAGCACCTGGCAAGCGACCGCGACTCCCTTACCTTCCACGCTTCAGCCCTCCTCTTGTCATTTCTTGACTGTCGCGAGATCCCCCGCAATCGCCCTCGCCTATCCACAATCGTTCGTGCATCCCTAAGAAAAGCCGGCCGTGCGTTAATGCTCAAGCCTTGCCCAGCGTCTTTCACAGCCAGCCAAGCTCGTCTTGACACTTGGGTGCTCGACTTCATAAGCAGACCGCCGGCCCGCCTGTGATCGTCAGTCTGGCACTCAATACTTCTATCTACCTAATCCGAATAATCCGCACTCCAACCCGCATATAATCACAATGGTCGCCCACGAAGGTCACGATATGTCGTCCATGGCGGGTATGGACATGGACGGGGGAAGCAGTGGCTCCTCATCCATGGGAATGTCCATGTTCTTCTTCACATCAACGACTACGCCGCTGTACTCCGAGGCCTGGACACCGGCGAGCGCTGGCGCATACGCGGGGACTTGCATCTTCCTCATTATCCTCGCCATCTTGTTGCGAGCGCTTTTCACGGCCAAAACCTTCCTGGAGTACAGGGCTCTCCAAAGCGCCATGAAACGGAGATACATTGTCGCGGCAGACCAGCAAACAGCGACGGATAAGGCTTTCAACGATGCGAGCTCCATGACTGGCATTCTCACAACGAATGGGCTGCAAGAGAATGTGAGAATCGTCGAGGCTCCTGCGAGACACGTGCAGCCCTTTCGATTCAGCGTCGATCTACCACGAGCCGCCATCATGACACTGGCGGCGGGCGTTGGTTACCTTCTGTGAGTGGCACATTTCAACATGGATGCACTTTAGCTAATTGTTTGCCAGTATGTTAGCCGTGATGACCTACAATGTCGGCTATTTCCTTTCAGTACTGGCTGGCGCTTTTATTGGAGAGTTGGCGTTGGGCAGGTTCAACCAAAGCGCCATGTCAATGTAGTATTTCATATCTCATTAGAACGTGCAACAACTTGGCACTGTCTGCGCACATTGGTAATGCGGGGAACAGAGTAGCTGCAGGGTTCAACCTTCGTCCGGCTGTACATACATGCAATACATCAGATTCCACACATGGCAAGCCTCCCATCTCATGCGAGTAATGTGATCACAAAATTTCTTCGTGCGCAGGTGCACTGAGGCTCTGCACCTAATGGTGCAACAACCCCGGGAGAGATGAGACCTGCGAGCGGCCGCCACTCCCGTTAGCCAAAGCTTGTACTCTACCAGCCCTATCCAATTCTCCAGAATTGTCACTCGGTGCGTGCGGTTTCGCAGTAGTAGAGCAAGACTGAGAGATACCCTGAATCGGCTGAAGCTCCTTGGGTTGGCTAGTGTACAAGGACCCTTGCCGATCTTGCGCTAGGTGTCCCGACTCGCAGAACAACTTGCTCATTCTTGCTCGGTCTAGGCTTCGGCACCCGACATAGTTTTGTCGCGCACCAGCTACCAGTGTCACGGCAGGCGATGGCAATGTATCACCTGCTATTGTAGTCTAGCGGCGGAGCATGGTCAAACAAGCTCACAATGGCTTGATGCGAGTGCCAGCGCCACGCGAGGTGCAGGTTCGAAATGCACACGGCATGGGGAGCTCTTGCAGACAATAAGTAAGGTACGTGCCCATCTTGGACCTTCATTGTGAGCTTCAACCACTTTCCTCCCTTCGATTCTTCCTTTGCATACCCTAAGGACAACCCTCGCCGAACCCTTGACCAGCTCCAAAAATGCTCTTCAACGCTCTCACACTTCTCGCGGCACTGCCGCTCACCTCCGCTCACTTCCTCCTCACCTGGCCCGACAAGCGCGGATTCGATGATGACAAGGCTACTGGCGGTCCTTGCGGTGGCTTCGACAGTCCAAGCAGTAACCGCACTGAGTTCCCGCTTTCCGGCGGTCCTATTCAGCTAGATATGCACCACACACAAAGCAAGGTGGCCGTATACCTTGCGCTCGGCAACAACCCCAGTGCTGATGACTTTACCATCACTCTGGTTCCTACTCTCTCTGAGGAGGGGCCCAGTAACTTCTGTTTGGGCTCAGTCAGCATCCCATCGAACCTGAACATCTCGGCAGGCACCAATGGAACCATTCAGGTTGTAACGAACGGTGACCCGAGCGGCGGATTGTACCAGGTGAGCTAGGCACGCGGTCATCTTGCGGAGCCGCTGTTGCTAACATTGCACAGTGCGGCGATGTCACCTTTGTCAACACTACGCTCTCCGAATCAGACTACAACAGCCACTGCCAGAACAGCACGGGTGTTAGAGTTACGCAGGAGAACATGTCAGGCCAGCCCAACGGGACCACATCAGGAGGCTCCTCCTCCTCTTCCCCAAGCAGCACCCCGAGCTCGACACCGGGCGCTGCCGCCCACGCGACCGCTGGCGTGTGGGTTGTGGGTGCCGCCGGTTTGGCTGCGTTTGCTTTGCTGTAAGGATGAAAGAAAAAGGGCGCGTGTATATAAGCGGTCGTTTCAATGATACCATGATCTCTCTTCACCTTGGATCGTCCTCTTCACCAATGCTTGCCTGTGCTCGTGACTTTTGGGTGAGCGATGATTAGCGTGAATGCGATTGGTCAATGCTCGCATTGACAGCTGCCAATTCGCTGCGACGAAATCCAAGCACACACGGCAGATGCTGGACGTGCAAGGGAGCCGTGCAGTCGTTTCCGGCCCAGAGTAATGGCCGATGAGGGGTGCAAGCTTGAGACGCCGTGAGGTGAGGAAAGGTCCCCGCGATGCTCAAGCGAGGCCACATTCGGAGCATCGGCGCTTTTTCTCCGTTCACGCGCTTCCACTCCATCACCAAAGCACACCCGCGCAGCCTCCACTCAGCAGCCCGAATCCCGTACGTATATCCTTCCTTGCACGCCTCGCGGACACATGTGCATTCTCGCGGGGTATTTTCGACCAACCGCTGACGTAGCCCGCGCAGTGAATCCGCCGTGACCTCGCATTTTCTCTCCCCACCGCAAATATGGATCAAGCAAAGCTGGCGCGCATGCAGCAGTCGGTGCGCATTGGTATGTCTCCTCCGCATCGGCATGAACCCACGCTGTTCCGCCGGCGGATTGCTGTGCTGTTCCGCAGACTTGCGAGCTAACATGCGACACAGGGTAAGCCTTCATCTTTTCTCCAGCCCGTCCGGCCGCACGGCCCCGCCATCGAAAGAGGCTCCGCCGAGCGAGCGCACCTCCTGCCGCTGACACGACTTCGGATGGGATGTTGAAAATACACGTGTGGACCATGGCTAACCGCGGCGAACAGTGGCAAGGGCACCCCGCGAAGGAAGGTCAAGAAGGTGCACAAGAGCGCCGGCACCGACGACAAGAAGCTCCAGGGCGCGCTCAAGAAGCTCAACGTCCAGCCCATTCAGGCCATTGAGGAGGTCAACATGTTCAAGACCGACGGAAACGTCATCCACTTCTCGGCACCAAAGGGTATGCACGCCCCGCCGCAGCTGGGGGTGAGGAACACGCTGCTTGCATTGGTTCCATGCAAGCGGTCGTGGTCCTCAAGCTTTAACCCAACTACTTCTGCGCACTGGGCTCTCTGCTAACATCAACCGCTAGTTCACGCCTCTGTGCCCTCCAACACCTTCGCCATCTACGGCAACGGCGAGGACAAGGAGCTCACTGAGCTCGTTCCCGGTATCCTCAACCAGCTCGGCCCCGACTCGCTGGCGTCGCTGCGCAAGCTCGCCGAGAGCTACCAGAGCATGCAGAAGGAGAAGGGTGAGGACGACAAGAAGGAAGACGACGATGATGACGACGACATCCCCGACCTCGTTGCTGGCGACAACTTCGAGTCCAAGGCCGAGGTTGAGTAAGCTGCTCGCTGAGCGCTGAGGACGCATCTGTAGTACCATATCGAGCTAGTTGGGATATAGCGCAATGTGGGCTACTACTATGTATGTGATACGGATGACTGTGGATACGGCCTACTTCCATCCCTCTTCCAATTGGCACTTGTGGCCAATCTCATGTCGCATACGAGCCGGGCTGGCGTTTATTATGAAATATATAGTATGGAAAAGTCCGAGCAATGATCTACCTGACAATCCTTTCGTGTGACTTGAACGCGACGGTGCTTTGCCCAAGTTGAGCGGCAGCAATGCTAATGAGATCATCAATAATAGTTCCGACTTGTTCCATAATATGGCCCTCTTGCGGAACTCTGCATGCCTGGACGAATTACGGCTCAAAATGACCATGCTTCCCCATCGGGAGGAACAGTTGCCGCCGCTCTAGTATGACAAATTTGACTGAGTTGTTCCCTGACATGTTAGCAAAGGGCGAATTACTGCACCTTTACAGCCACCAACGCGGACTATCCTCAGATGTTGTGTCAATGCTTTTGTTGTTCGGACGTGCTCCCAACGCTTGTGTCGCTTGGTCATCGTAGCCGGAACGGATCTCCCTCGCTTCCGACGCCCAAGCTTTGTCCCTCCGAAGGTTGGTAGCCTTCCCCAGTCCCACCACATTGCTAGGCTTCTGCACTGAGGGCTGTAGCTTACACAATACGGCATGACTGTACCCGCTCCTTCAAAGCCAGCGCATTCAAAACTACAAATACATCCACAACATGCCGTCCTCCAAGAATCATCGTTTCACAAGTGCCCGTCCTAGCGTCACGCCTCCTTCGGATCCCCGACTTCTGCGCCCTAAACTCATTCAACGCGTTTCGTCCTCGAGCGCGTTTATCGTACCTTGACTCGTTCCTTTCGCCCTTTGATGCGCTTTGTATTCCTTTGCCCGATCCTCTCCCTCTTTCACTCTTCTACTTCACTTTATTTGTGATACCCACCAGCGCCATGTCTACAGATACCATCCTCATCCTCGGCGGCGCTTTCGCGGGCATGAGCGCCGCGCACTACGCGTTAAAACACGTCATTCCCCAACTTCCCAAGAAAGATGGTGTCGCATACAATGTCACCGTCGTCAATCCCTCGAAGGATTTTTATTGGAGAATCGCTGGCCCTAGGGTCGCTGCTTCGAAAGATCTTATGCCATACAATAAGCTATTTTACCCTATCGAGCCGGCCTTCGCCTACGCGAAGGAAAAGTTTACTTTTGTGCAAGGCAAGGCCACTCACGTCGATTCCGCCGGTCAGACAGTCTCTGTAGAGACGGTCAGCGGAGAGCAGAAAAGCATTCCATATGCCGCATTGGTCATTGCCACAGGATTCTCGACACCCACTCCTCTTTTCACCCAGACGACGGACCGTGCCGCCCTAGAGGCAGTGTATGACGCATTCCACTCCCAACTCAAAACTGCAAAGACTGTGGTAATCGGCGGTGCGGGGCCTGTGGGCGTTGAGACAGCTGGCGAGATAGCCGAGTTCCTCAACGGAAAACCAGGCTTCATGGCCTCTGCCCCCAAAAACCCCAAAGCGAGGGTTACAGTCATCAGCGCGGAGAAGAAGATGCTGCCCGTGCTGCGCGAGTCGATATCTAAGCAAGCCGAGAAGTACCTCAACCGCGTTGGTGCAGATGTGGTCTACAACACGAAGGTTGTCTCTGCCACGAAGGCCAGCGACGCAGAAGGCGCTAAGACGACAGTCCAGCTATCGGACGGCAAGACCATCGAGGCAGACATTTATATCGACGCTACAGGAACCCGTCCCAACACCAGCTTCCTTCCTAAAAAATGGCTCGACAACCGGAATCGCGTCTCGTGCCACGCTAAGACACTCCGCGTCGAGGCCGCGGGGCCCCTCGTCTATGTCGTTGGTGACTGTGGTTCATACACCCGCGGGGGAGTCATGGACCAGTACGACGCAATTCCTGTTGCCATGACCAACCTTCGCACCGACCTTACCGCTCATCTTTCCGGCCAGGCGCCTGGTCCAGACAGGCACTACGAGGCCAACTTAAAGGAGCAGCAGCTTGTGCCGATTGGCACATCTAAGGGTGTAGGCGCGGCCAACGGCATGGCCCTGCCAAGTTTGATGGTGTGGGGTATCAAAGGAAGGGATTACATGGTAAGCATGTTGGTAGAGGGTCACATGAACGGGAAACCATATGAGAAAGACAACAAGTGGAAGCCTCAGCCAGTTATCGCGGCTGGTCAGGTGGGTACGAGCCGGGGCTAGAGAAGATTGATGGTGTGTTGGGTTCGTCCTTGTGTTGGTGGTGGAGGTAATGCACGTTTGTTTCGGCCGTGGATCAGTATGATACCCTAAGGAGGATCTCATCGAAGTATATTGTAGTGACAATTACCTGTTCTCACTTAATTTGTAGCGAGTTAAAAGTCTACCTGCGTGCAATATGCTGTCATGGGTTTACGCTTACCTGGGTATTCGTTGAGATTATCTAGTGGAACCGTTGAGACCTTCGCATCCACCATGTGTATTGCGGGAACATCCGCCGATACCACCAACTTGTTGATATTGGTGCGGGTCCTTTATGGTACGATCGATACTACCATGGGCATCTGCACGACGCGTTGCTGATTCCAGAGACGACTTCAGAGTAATGAAGCAAAGGTGTCGACATCGAAAATTGAGCTAACAAAGCCAACGGTGCGACCCTAGGATTACCCAACCCTCCGAAGTGGTCATTTCCAGTTCGCAACCGTCCTGCCCTGAGCCCATTATATAATCGTGTGCCAACTCAAAGACTACTTCCACAGCATTTTCTAGCCTCGACATCTGGAGACACAATATTTCTTCCCCTATCTGGACCGACACACGCAATCTTGTAAGCCTACAACTGACACTCCTTTCCTCCCACTCAACTTACCTTAGCAGATGTCACCGCCCGTCCGACCACATCCAACTCCCCGTGCAAAGGACACGTGGGTAAGGCGTTTGGAAGGACGGATTGCCCGAATGAAACAGCAAGAAAACTTAATGGTCGAGAACGGGAACGAGAAAATAGGAGGAGGATATTCTCCCCGCCCTCATATGCATACGGGACACTACGCCACACTAAGTAACCACAGGCCGGAGCTGCACTGAAGCCACGGGCGAGACACATCAATACCACTTTTACTCGCTGTGTAACTTCTCCATCAACTCTCCGAACACACGCCCTCACCTAGAGTCACCCGGCCGATCAACATCTCCGAGACATGCCGCTTCGACTCCTACCAACAGAACTCGACCTGACAGTGTACGCTCGGCATCTCAGACAACTTCCGCGTCCAGACATAACTCACTCCAAGGATGGCACGAGGTCCAGGATTGCTACGAGGCAAGAATCGTCGTCGAAAGCGAAAGGCGGAGCGAAAATACCAGCGCGCCTTGCCTAAGAGCTGTGAGGAACCAGAGCTACCTTTTACCAGCGAGACGGCAGCGGCTGGTGTTATTGGATCTGTGAGCTTGGGGCTCGCGATGCTCTGGTGGTTCGCTAGACAGCAGCAGAAAATTGTAGGTACCCAGGACCAATGTGGTCTGAACTTCCTTTCGACTGGTTTGACTCGCGCACAAGACACCTCCGCGTACACCACTGCCCCTCCCTTCTACAATTACGTGATAACTTCCACGTGCCACTCTTCCCTATCTATCACCTTCACCTCAAAAGCACACGGCTTCTTTCGGCACGCCCAAACTCGCATATCGAAATCGGACAACTGCAACCACTCAACCTCCGCTTCACGATGTCCACGAGCAAGGCCCTCAGCGAACTCCGAAACCTTTCCCCACCAGACCACGACCCAAAGCACAGCACAAACCCTTCAAAGATTGCCAGCGTACTTAGCCACAAGGCCTTAAGCACCGCTGGTAAGACCCGCCTACCGTTGTTGCCGTCTTCGAACGCACTGCTTTATCCAACACCTGCAGCAACCGGAAAGCCGGACAGGGAGACAACCTTCGCTACCGGAGCAAGGCCTACGGGACGTTCTGTTTTCTATGATCGCAGTGGTGGTTATCTATGTGGCGGTGAACCATGCAGAGTATGTCCGGCTCAGCAAGCTTGGCTAGCTACAGCAGGGAAGCGGGGAGCAACTTTCTAGCTCGGTGCGATTGTTTGAGACCCCAATTGGGGGCACTGTTGATTCAGCTTAAGGCAGGTCTCGCACTTTTAGCGATACGTTAACCGAGTGGGATGGCGCTTGGTGGATGCATTATTCATGTATTATTGGCTCTTTGCAGGGAGTATTGGCCATGTGTAATCTACAGCTTCGTACTCGAGGATGTCCTACACGCCTAAGCGCCAGATCATGGCCACATTGCCACTTCGCCACTCACATGTGCTTGTGGAAGAAGTCCAAGACCAGCTTGTAGCCCCGCTCATATTCCTTCTTGACCTTGTCCTGCTCCAGGTCACCTCGTGCCGCCATCCAGCCATGAACCTGAAACGAATGTTAGCCTGAACTTATAAGACTATGGTTGGATCGACCGGGTAGACTTGCCTGGTCCGGGAACCATTCCACAATGTTTGGCGTCTTGATGTTTTTCTGCCACTTCTCCACCTCGCTCTTGTCCTCATCCATGCTGGGCAACATGGCGTAGGGAATCACGATGCCCTTCGCATCGTCGCCCGCGACCATGGCGGGATGCGCCGCGGCCGCGACCTTGAACAGCGTACCCTCGAAACTGCTCAGGTTCACGATCTTGCCGCCCCAGCAGAAGCCAACAATTCCCCAATCCTCGACACTCTTGCTCTTCTTCAGCTCGTCGATGACCTTGGGGATGCGCTCCAGGGTCTTTGGTGGTGCAGCGGCAGTCTTGAAGAACTCGCCAAGCTTGGCGCCCTTCTCATCGTTGTCCGGTGGGTACCAGGAGATGTCGGCCGGCTTGCCGTCGAAGAAGTCGGGGATGAAGACCTGGTATGGGTGGTCCTTGTCGGTGTGAGCGAGGATGTCGGCGCCTTGGATTGTCTGGGGGAAGAATCCGAAGATGTCGTAAATGATTCTGTTTATCAATTCAATTTCTTGAGCCATGATTTTCACTGGTGGATGGCTTACAGTATTCCTCGTTTTGCGTCTTTTGGTCCAGTGGCGTCTGTGTCTTTGAGCACTTGCCAGCGTAGATAATGTAAGGTCACGCACAAGTCTTCATGCCCTGCACCTCAATATATTCTCCTTTTTGCTGATAGCCCTTGCTGACCACGGCGGGTGTGTTGCAGCCTTCAATAGGTCAGTGGATTTCACGTGCGCTTGATCATTGTCCTTACAAGCCTGCGACTGTGTGGATTCGGTAGACATGTTGGCAGCGTGTCGGAATGCGACTCGTGTCTTTGGCGTTCGTCTAGTTGCAATTGAAGCCCGTATGAAGGTAGAGAGTACGGGTTGAGGATTCCTGCAGCGGAGAAGAGGGACGGGGAGATGCATTGTCTCGAATGTCTGCTCCCCGGATCTGTCTTAAGGTGGGGCTAGCGACATGATGTCACAGCGGCCGGCTGGGGTAGCTTCGACCAACGAGCGTTCACCGCACCTCCAAGACATGCAAGGCAGATCAACGATGTTGACAAATTATGGCAACGCATTGGGGTTCTTTTATCACAGACGTTACCCAAATCATTATTACCACTGATCATCAATAATCCACACAGATCGCCTTCCTCAATCCGAAGGCCCACCGCCGGGCAGCAGCTTGATGATGCTTATTGAATCATCGTCGCCCTCATCACTGCGGGAGTGGGAAATTGAACAGCATGTCGTCGTTGATATTCGACATGAAATATAGGCGATATACTAAGAGTGATCCCACCAACGCCCTTCCATGTCCGCCCGTAAACAAAATGTCTATCCAAAAGATAGGCTGTAAAGTGCCACTGAAATACCAAGACGATGCAATGCCGCTGAGAAAATGACATAGGGAAGAGATAGTCAGACAGGACGCAACATGCGACAAGCAATATGTGCAGCTGCTCGCTCATCCTCATCCTCGTCCCCGCGCACCTTGGTGCAGACACCGTACTCCGTTTCTATGCAGTCCACTCAACCCGCCCCTGGTTGCTTCTGCTCTCGTACTTCCGTCCTCTCAAGCCGATCGTGATCCATCATATCGTATTAGGGCGTTTCGAAACCAACGCCTGAACCAAAAACCGCCTTCGTGTTGGATATATGAACGCCAAGTACATGCGCAGTAAACAAAAAGGGGTATTGCGAATGACAATGCTTACCTTTGATAGTAGTAGCAACGCTTCATCTCCTCCATTACATGACCAACTTCTTGGTCTTCACAATGAAGGGACTGGGCATATCGTCGCACTCTTCTGGGTTCCACACGACAGCCGGCTTCAACTCTCTGGCCGTGACCGCGCTTCTGGCCTTCATGGGACTCTTAATCCCCGTTCGCATGCCGCGCTTGCCCTCATCCTCGCTCAAAGCATGAGGGATCCCACGCGCTTGCTGGAGCTCCACGAGCGTCCGGCCTAGTGGGCGGGCCCCATTCGCTGGTGTCTTCTTCTTGAGCATGCCCGAAGTCTCAGCTTGCTTGGCCGCTGCTCTACGAGCAGGGCTGCTGAGCTCCGGCTTTGAGCGTGCGCGGGCAGGCGAAGTGGCTACAATGGGAACGGTAGAGTGTGGACGGGGCTTTTGGCCGCCAGGTGCCAATGATGGAGCGGTTGCGAGGCGTGCTGTCGGCCGCGGCAGAGGTTTCTGGGCCCCTGCAAGTGTCTTGAAAGGGTCTTCATTAGACTTGCGACCACTTGAACCGCTACGCGAACGAGTTGGCGATGGCAGGGCAGGAATATCGTCGTCGTCGAGATCGGCGTTCCAATCATCATCAGTTGGTGATGGCGGGACCTCGCCTTCCCATCTCTTGGCTGCTTCCTTTGCTGCTGCGAAAATGTTCTTACTTGAGTGTCTCTCGCGACGAGGGGACAGGGAGAGGCCGCTGACCGCGAGAGATGCTGGTGCGGGAGATGGCTCACCCATCTGAACGTCCATGGGCGAGGGTGGTGGTTGGCTGACAGGTCCTGCCATGGTCCTGGCCCGGGTGAGTGGAGCTCGAGACCTCTTCTTCGGTAGTTGGTTGCCGACAGGAACTCGAGCATCTTGTGTAACGCCATGGCCGTTTGTACCCAGGACGTCGTCTATTGAATCATCAATTGAGAGCGAAGAAATGTCGGTAAGGCTGTTCCAATCAGAGTTGGTGCCTGATGTGCTGATCGAGTCGCCATTAGCAGGGAATATAACAGCCGGCTCCGTAGACTGTGTTGGTGTGTTTGAGCGAGGAGCAAGCTTCGGCGACGTGCTTGGGCGAGCCGGGTACTTCTTCAATGCCCGCTCGACCTGTGCCTTGACTTCTGCTTCGAATGTGTCCTGCAGCTTCCTGAATTCGATCTGGTATCTCCGCTCGACTTCATATTTTACTCGTTTCTCGATCTCCAATTGCGCTTTCACCTCCCACTCTCGCCTGAGCTGGTCGTTGATGTCTTTGCGCATGTTGATGACCTTTGTGTCAAAAGCCTTCTCCCTCTGGATCAGTTTCGTCTCCTGATCCTTCAACTCCTGGCTGATCTTGACCACTTCTTGCTCTTTGCGCATCAGCTTCACGATTGGCAGGTTCAACAGCTGTGCTGTGTCTGGGCGGTTCGTGGGCGAGACCTGAAGGCAAGACGCGATGACCTTGTTGAGCTCCGGGGAATATACGGCCGGGATGGGCGGGTAACGCCCCATGCGAATCTTCTGAATGAGGTCGAGATGGGTCCTAGCATTGAAAGGCGGCTGCTTTGCGCACATTTCGTATATTATGCAGCCCAGCGCCCAAATGTCGGAGTGGGGTCCGTACTGCTCCGCTTTGCATATCTCAGGCGACATGTAGAAGGGAGTACCGACGTAAGTGGAAGCAAAATCGTGAGATTGGAGGATCTTGGACAGGCCAAAATCACCGAGCTTGACGGAGTTGTCGTGGTCGAGGAAGACTAGCCAGCGTTAGTTCTTGTAATGGTGCACGCATGGTGCAGGGACTGACTGTTTTCCGGCTTCAGATCCCGGTGCAGAATCATGGGCCTCCCGTTGCGGTCCCGCACAGGTTTGGCGTCGGCACCAAGACCCATGACGTTCTGGCCTGCTGGCGGCGGGTCCTGCCCATAGTGACAGCGGTAGAGGGCGTTTACAATCTGGGAGAATATGGACCAGACGAACTCCTCTTCGGCGAACTGGTTCTTGTTCTTGAGGTTCTGGATGACGCGACCGAGGTCGCCGTTGCCACAGTATTCCATGTAGAGATGCAAGTCTTGCGAGGCCTTCAGGTGTTCGCGCTCGTAGTATCGGACAATGTTGGGGTGGACGAGCTCCTTGAGAATGGACAGCTCGGCCTGCAGCTGTTCCTTTTCCTTCTGGGACATTTTCGAGTAGGAGATTTCTTTCCGGCAGAGAATCTACAGAACAATCAGCCGGGCGCGCGAGTGCGGTGCAGCGACACGTACATAGCCGTCGGTCTTGCGCTTGACTTTTCGGATGATGCCGAACGAGCCATGGCCTGCACTGTGTCAGTATGCAGGCGTGCCAGGCGCGGTGAGAGCCGCCGTACCGATCTTTTCCAGGACTTCGTATTTGTCGTCCTCGGGCATGATGGATGTGGGTATGCTATATCATCAATTGATGCAGCGAGGGTGGTATTACTATCGAGTGCGAGGCTGTCTGTTAGTATTGGTGGGAGAGGGTGCAGCTGATTGCAGGACGGGACGCATGGAAGAGCGGCGGGCGGCCCAGGTGATTGCCCCGGCCGTGTTAGGGCCTGATGTTTACGGCCGTCGCCAGTAGCAACGGACGCGCACGGAGCACAGGCCTCGCTAGCCTGCAGCACCCGCACGAACGTCATCGGATCTGATCTAATCTAATCGCCGGCGATCGCCACGATGCAGCGCCCTGCGCACCGTCAGATGTCCACTGCCGCGCCGGCTGCCTTTGCTGCTTCTCGCCACCATGGACACGAAGAAGAAGTTCGAGCTGGAGCGGGCGCTCGCGACCGAGAACCAGGCCGTCTCGGCGGGCAAGCTCAAGGAGGACAATCCGCTCGACACCACCGAGACGTTCCGCCAGTTCTGCGAGGCATGTCGGCGGGGTGACCTCAAGGTGTGCCAGGAAATGATCCAGGCGGGCGTCAATGTCAACGCCCGCGACAGACATGACTACACACCATTGATCCTTGTAAGCCATCCCGCAACTACGCTCGTGGACATCGTTTGCGACACTGCTACGCCCAGTGCACCATGGTAACCGCGGTTCTATAAGGCTAGTCTCTGCGGACACTACGAGGTCATACAATTGCTTCTGGAGAATGGTGCGCTGTGTGAACGAGACACCTTCCAGGGCGAGCGCTGTCTGTACAACGCGCTCAACGATCGGATACGGAACCTCCTACTTTCCTACGACTACGCCAAATCTTCGAACCCTCTGCAGCCGCTTGCCGCGCACATTACCTCCCTCCTTACGCGGCCCGAACCAGTCACAGCCGATCTCACCATCGAGGCATACGACCAAAGCTTCCATGTGCACAAGTTTCTCCTCGCAGCTCGCTCGCCATACTTTGCGAAGAAGCTCCGCGCGGCACCAAACACGACGACATGGACCTTGCCACAAAACATACCCAGCCGATCGCTAGGCGTCGCATTGCAGTACCTGTACTTCTCAGAGGTATCGATGCGGAGAGCAATGCATGGACTGAACGACGACGAAGAAACACACGCCTTGAAGGGCATCGATAAAATCGGGCGCCAGTTGGAGATGGACCGGCTGTTTGACGACATTACAGAAGTAGCGGATCGGCGGTTGCTCCGCCAGAAGCGAGCAGAAGAACTGATTCGCGGTCGAGATCAGCTCGAGACATGGTTCAAGGAGCATGTTCTGGACAACAAGCTCGAAGTCGAGACAGCCAACGTGGACAATCTCAAGTGGGATCGGGATAACTCCATCTACGCCGACATCCTGCTTCGAGCAGACGACACCGAAGAAGACTACGAATCCGATGAGACGGATGCCTCCCCTGGTCCCTCGGAGTCCTCAACACCACCCGCGTGCAGTATCCTCGGACTTCCAGTCAAATCTCGCTCTCCATCTCGTTCCCGCAAGTCACGCAGATCCACCATTTACCCTGCACACAAAGCCATGCTGCTCCGCTCAGAATACTTTTCCACCATGCTGAACTCGCACTTTCGCGAAGCCCAACAGACCCCCTATCTCCAGATCGTCACCCTTGACTGCTCTCCCAAGGTTCTCGAAACAATCCTCACCTTCCTCTACACCGAACGCTCCGACTTTGGTCTCGACGTTGCCATCGACGTGCTTTTCACGGCAGACCAGCTCTTCATCGAGAAGCTGAAGCAGCGCGCTGCACTCATCATCTCCACGCTCGGCAACGGCAATTCCTCGACCGTGGAAAGCGAAAACCCGAGAGGCGAGACAGACGCAGAAGAAGTCATCGACATCTACGAGGTCATCCGGGCGGGCTGGGACACGCGCGTGCAGCGGTTAGAAGAGTTTGGAGCGCGATACATCGCGTACCGGTTGGAGAGCTACATCGACACCCCCGAGTTTGCCGAGATTGTGCAAGAGTCCGCCCGCAGAGTCAAGGGCCGGCAGGAAACCGATACCGTCGAGCTCGTGGACGATATTCGGTATTACCTTTCGGACCGGTTCCGGCTACGCTTCGAGGACAGCGGGTTGGAAGAGATGATGGAGCAGAGAGGAGACGCAGATGCCATTGCCGAGGCGATGCAGGATCTAGGCGTCAAAGATGAAGGTGACGAAAACAAGAATGAGTTGTCAGGGAAGGAGCTTGAAGAACAGTTTGCCGTGGGAGCCATCCGCACGTTGGATGGAGAGATTGCCGGTGATGAGTTGGCACAGGACGCGATGAATTACCAGATCCTGCTGGCAAAGATTGACCAGTTGTTGGAGAATCTGAACCTGGACGCTTAGTTTATAGACTGGCGTGCGTTGACTTGCATAGATGCCATCTGCGATAGAAGTACATATACAACATGCAGACGACCACCAGTAAATAGATATGGGTCACCCTAACGCAATCGAAGTTCATTAGCAGGTACATGCTCGACAATGCTGTCTACTACGACTCAAGCCGTCCTTCGTTGTGCAAGCGGAATTCCGGACGGTGCTGTGATCCCGTCTTGTATCGTCTTTGGCTGTTTAGGGCCGCCTTCTCGACCAACAACCTCGGGTCCATCATCAAGGGCTTCACCCAGCCAAGCTTCGAAGACGATGCGTCTGTGTCACCAACATGAGGTAGTCAAAACCTCCAACTGGTCAGCCGCGACTGTACAGCAGATGAGTGCCTGTGTGCCACAGGCATGCACTCGCTCATCCTTTTGTGACGGAAACTGCGCCTGGAGTCCTTGCTATTTTTCTGTCATCAGATCTTGCCTCACTCTGTACCCTTTCAAGGCTTCGCGTTGGTAGCCGTTTCCACCTCTTGCCACCGGTCCACCGCCCGCTTCACCAACCCTTTCATTACGTCCCGGTCCACGACTCCCCCACCGCTCTTTTCCAGCCTCTTCAATATACCATCTTTTGTTCCCTTGTTGCCGCCAGTACAATCTACAACCACGCAGACGCTTTCCCGGCATACACTCTCCTCGAATGCATCCGGATCGCTGAGCACCCAATCGGCCTCTTCGTCTTCGCCGCTCTCGTTCCAATCACGCTTGCCCTCAAATACGGCAAATGTCGAGGGGACAGGCAGTCCGCGGAGGGTTAATGGATGCGCCTCGGACGGGTCATCGGAGCACAGTATGGTCTCGAGGTCTTCGTCCCAAAAGGCGTGCGGGATAACGCTGTTCTTTAGGGCAGCGAGGATGGCAATCCAAGCAGCGTCGAAGGCATTGCCATCGATGCTGATGTAGAAGATGTCGATATAGAGCACCCAGTAGCCCTTCAGCTGCGGCTCGGGCTCTGCGTCGGGGTCGTCAGGGTTGCTGGGCGGGGTGTAGAGTATGCGTAGATCGGAAAGCCGGACGAGGGACGTGGACAGCAGCAGCGACCGGACGCGGGTGATCAGTGTCTGCGCAAAAGACGAGGGCGCATTGCCAGGGATGTGCTGGGGCGTGCTGCCTGTGGAGAGCTCGACGTTGGGTACGAGCACCCGCAAGCTCTCAATCTCCTCGCGCTCGCGCTCGCGCTCTAGGTCCTCTTCGGCCTCGTTTCCGGTGCTGGGCGCAAAATCGGCGGTCCCTTGCACATGCTCTTCGTGGAGTATTTCGGCGCGCACCCCGCACACGGCCGAGGTGTTGCCCAGGCGCACGACGGCCGAGCCATTGCAGTGCGTGAGGCTGCCGGTGTTGATGCCGACCCTTCGGAATTCGTGCGCGGTGCGGCTGTTGGCGCGAAGGGGCGCTTTGGAGGGCTGCGACGCTGAAAGGTGCGCCTGCAGGAACGGATGCGGGGCGACAGCGGCGAAGATGGGACGCGGAAACGTCAAGGCAGGCCCATGCACAGGCTGCTGGTGTGCTGCTGCTGTAGTTGCAGCCATGGTGTTTGTGCGGTCGGTAGACGCGACGTGGGGAGCGGGTTTGAGCGTCAATCGGAGCTGCCGTTGAACATCGAGAAATGCGATTTCCAGGGTTTTCGGGTGATCACCTGATCACGCGTCACCCGTGGACCCTTAGACCCATCTTGCTGGGGAGAACCATCAAGCACACAAGTGCCTATCATGAGTCCTCATATCATATCGGCCCTCTAACGCCTGGTTCCATACTACGGCTTGTTCGGTAATTCCTGTATATGAGCTATGGTATGCCGTGCTAGAACAAAGGTGGGAAAATTCATGGCTCAATAATCGCTAGTGAAGTGATGAGACGACAGTCTTTATTTCTCTACCGTTTTGCGTGATACCACTTCATTTCGAGTCAGTTTCATTCACCAGAGAACTGATATCTGCTGACAGTGTGCATCCAAGCAGGTGATCGTTTGAGAATCGAGCTTATCAAGTTACATCAACAGCACCCACGATACGAACATCAGCCCAAGACACATCACGGCCGGCACGCTCGGCGCATTCGAGGCGCCTGTAGGCTCTGACCCTGCTCCTCCTGTGCTCGTTCCGGATTCCGCGCCATTCGATGGCACCCCTTCCGCAGTACTCGGTCCCGTCCTTTGGACCTCACTCCCACTCCCCAGAGAACTTCCGCTACTGGGGCGAGCGGAAGCTTCAGCCGACCCTGTCCGTGGCAACGTTGTTACATCTGCCTTTGGCACCTCCACACTTGTCATCTGCACCCCATGCACCGTGTCCACCCACAGACAGTACGGCGTTTCTGTCACCACCCGCTCCGACAATGTGCTCCCTGACCAAACCATATACGCATCCGATGACAGACGACTCGCCCCCATCTTATTGTACGTGACAGGAAACGGCTGCGCTTCCGCTGTTCCCGTAGCTGCCAAACTCGCCAACGGCGTTCTACTGAACCCATACCGCTCAGCGCAAAAGGTGCCTCCGTCTCCGCCATCATCAGGCGAATCAGGCAAGGGACCGGTCGATAATTCGGCTCCATAACGGCAGCATTCCAAATCTTGAAGCTCGAAATTCTCCCGGGTCCAGTTGAGAGAACCCAGAATCTCGCCGTCACAGCAGAAGGTCTGGAAATCAGAGTCTTTGAGACCGCGGGTGGCATTCTCGGCATTCCAGGCATTTGCACAGGAGAAAATTGGGGGGTTCGGGTCAGTCCAGTGGTCTAGGTCGTATAGTGGGCCTAAACACCGGTCGTTTGGGGGGATCGACCCCGATGGAACCTCCGTTGAGATCGACATTGAGAAGAGCGAAGTTGTGTTGTCTGCAGAGAATCTATAAAACTTCGTCTTGGTCACCGTGGTTGTTGGCGTCCAGTCAACGGAAGCCACTTGCCGTGTTATCCGTGGGTTTCTGGAAGGATTGGGGGCGGCGTGCACTTTTGGCTCTAGCGCATCATGAACCACGCAGCACAGTGGCCGAAAAATGAATGTAAAATCTCATAATTAAGGCGGACCCTACTGTGAGCATCGACGCTAACTTAGCCTTCTAGAAATATACAAACGTATAGTAGACTGAGTTAGTACAGGATGAACTAAGCGCCTATATTCCTAAATTCCATATCAACAATTGTGCAGGTATCTATAGATTCTGAGATGCCAGGTTCTGTGGATCCGTGGGGGGCGATAAACTATGGTACGGGTTTGGTGATCGTGAGTCGACTTGATATGTCTCGTGCCTGAACACATTAGGAACCATCGCCCCGAAGACTGGGGAGCCAGCGATGTATTCACATGGATCTTGACCGCAAAGTCATTCTGTCAGACCATGAGACAATCTATATTCGACACCTTGCCACAGGAGAAGATAAGACCCTCCCGCCTTCCGTGGTCTGGGACACCAAACTAAGAACACCGGGTAACGGCAGAGCAGCACAGAGTCGTACAAATCAAGCACACGGCATAAACACCTCCTTTCTACTCTCATAATGAAGCTAAACTCTCCTGCCCACGTCATAACCCTTTAATCTACACGCCAAAGTCTACAAATAAATTGCCGAACCCAAAACGCCGTGCTTCGAAATGCAAAGCAAGCCACTCGCTTGCGCAGGTGCACATCATCGCATCTCCTGTTGCCCAGGAGTGCCTGGTACCTGCTCGCCCTTGGTCCAGACGCTCTCCATCGCTTCCGCAACGATGGTCATGCCGGCATCGATCTCCGCCTCGGTGATGACAAGCGGCGGGACGAAACGCAGGGTGTTGGTTCCGCAGGTGATGATAAGGAGGCCTCGTTCTCGCGCCGCGGTCACAATAGGCGTCGGGTCCTCGTCAAGCTGCAGGCCGAGAATCAGGCCTTGGCCCCTGATTTCCTTGACGCGGTCTGGGAAACGCTCCTGAAGTAAAGCGAAATGCTTTTTGAACGCGGCAGACTTTGCGGGTATAGAGTCGAGGATCTCGGGGGAGGAGAGGCGCGACAGGATGTGGGAGGCAACGCGGCAGCCGAGAGGGTTCCCGCCGAACGTCGTGCCGTGGTCGCCTATCTTGATGTGGTCGCAGACAAAGTCATTCACAATGGTAGCGCCGATGGGGAAGCCGTTGCCCAGAGCCTTGGCCGTAGTGACGATGTCGGGATGGGCCTCTTTCGGGTACGAGGCGTGGGCCCAGAATGTGCCTGTTCTTCCGAGACCGCATTGGATCTCGTCGTAGATGAGTACGGCACCGACCTCGGTGCAGCGCTTGCGTAGCGCAAGCAGGAATTCCGGCGTCGCGACGTTGACGCCACCCTCGCCTTGGATGGGCTCGACGATCACGCCGCAGGTGCCCTCAGTGACCAGGTCGTTCACGGCGTCTACATCGTTGAAGGTTCCGTACCGGAAGCCGGGAACCATAGGCGCAAACGGCTTCTGGTACTTGGGGTTTGGTGTTGCGCTCAAAGAGCCCATGGTGCGGCCATGGAACGAGCCAGTGAAGGACACAATGTCATATTTATCTTTGCCTGGTGCGACTTCCTTTCCGACCTTGCGCGCGAACTTTATGGCAGCCTCGTTGGCCTCGGATCCGCTGTTGCAGATGAAGGTTTTCGTAGCGGTCGCGAAACCGCCGGTCGCGTGGGTGAGCTGGATGAGCTGCTTCGAAAGGAGACCAGTCAGGGGGTTGTGATATAGGTTCGAGGTGTGCATGAGAAGTTGTGCCTATGCAGACCAAGTTAGCATTCTGCTGTATGTCTCATTGTCCAGACGCTCTGTACCTGCTCAGAAATTGCCTGAGTAACGCCCGGGTCGCAGTGTCCCAATGCATTGACAGCAATGCCCGATGTGAAGTCGAGGTATTTCCGGTTCTCGACATCGTACAAGTAGCATCCTTCGCCTTTCTCGAACATGGGGGGCGGGCGCACGTAGGTCGGGACCATGTACGGAAGCTGTTGGTTGACGAGACCGGCCGTCTTGGACGTCGATGGGGGGTCTGGCGTCGGGAGAGAGGCTTCTCGCTGCCATTCTGTTAGCAAATAGTGTCAAGTGACTTCCAGGCGAGCAACTGTACCTCTATAGAGTCCTTCACATCTTGCGGTAGGCTTGAGCCCTTCAGCGCAGCAGCCGTGGAGGCATATCGCGCAGGGCCACAATTGGCACGCGAGGCGCGCAATGTCGTCGCGAAACGCTTGGTGGAAAATCGCAAAGCCATCACACTCATATGCAGTACAAGACAACGGGGAAAAACGTGCAAACTTATGCTTGGGGTATCATGCAGTCTGAAAGTTCTAAGCTTGATGTGACTCCGACCACAGGCCGAAAATGATCCTTATCGATTGCGCTTGCCGAATTCGGAGTGACATCCCGCTTGCGCTGTAGACGCCCATACATGCGATGGAGCAAGGCGAAAAGCAGACGCTCAAGGACTCAATTTGAGTGAGTCATGGACGTCAGATGGACGCTCTTGTCGCTGGATCTCTCAATGCTTCTTCGCCTCCCTCTCCTTCAGCTTCTCATCAATATGAGCATCCAATCTCATCCAGCACGTCTTGCCTTCGACGAAGCAACTTGTCATCCAGGCCCACCAGACCGGCTCAGAGGGTGTCAGCCCGTGCCTGTTTAGTTTCCTGGCCATGAACACCGTCTCCGTAGCATGGATGCCCACCATGATATAAAAAAGATACGGTTGAATCGTGAAAAGGAAGTCGCCAAAGCCGGGGACATGAGATAGTATGTTGTCGTGTATAAGTGATCCGGATTTGAAATTGGCCCTCCGAGAGAACGTGGTGAGCACGATCAGGCACTGCGTAAAGTTGAACAAGTGAATCCAGTGGAGACCCGGTGCATATGGCGGGGTGTACTTGGTGATTGGAATGTCGGTAAGCCCGAGTATGTCGAGGGCCTCTTTGTCAAGTTGGATGAGGCGCTCGCGTGCTTCCCGCATGGCTTTCATGGGCGGGTCTAGGGGGATGATGACTTGCTGTTTACCACAATCGAACTTCATATCATTCAACGTGACACCCGTCAGGCGCGCGTCACGGACCTCGGAGATGGATTTCTGTTTGAAGGCTTTAAGATATCTGCGCACCTGCACGATTCAGCGTTGGCACTCATTTTTTTGTGTTGAGCATCTCACTGAGTCGGCATGGTCAGCATTCATGTGCTTGACGATACGCTCGCTGATGACGGCTTCTTGAGCCTCTGGGGTTGACATGTTGTCGTCCGTCGGTGTACTAATAGATGTGGTTGCTATATATGTGCGTAAGGCTTTTCGAGCTCAGGGATGCTGCTGTTTGTTCGGAGCGGGCAACTCGCTCCGAAAAACCCGCTACGCGGGCATCGTGCTTCCCATGCCCTTTCCAGCACTTCCTTGCCTACGACGTTCCTTTCTGCATTCACAATACAGACGTTGAAGGCTCACTACCTTCACTGCTTCACATGTGCGCTCGATTGCGCCAAGCCTGGAATGCAGAGGGCTACCTCACGATCGACAAGGCTTCGCCATCCCAGCCACCCTGATGATCAATCAGGCTAGTGATCGATTGCGTCAACGAGCGGAGCGGAAGTCGGCCGTGCGTCTGGACGTCTGATATCATGCGAAGCGCTTGCGCGCCGCTGTCATGGTCGGCACCGGAAGACGTTGGCGGCGAGAGCCCCCGCGAAACTTGGAAACGGCAAGTGGACCTGGACGCATGGGCTCAGTGTTGCTTCCGGTCCCCACTTTCCCGTTCCGACAAGCACCTGCTTGCAGGGATGAGGGCAAGTTTCAGCGACGCCTCGCAGGATTGGTGGGGAGATTGAGCGTGCCACTTGTTGCGTCAGAGTGCATAGGCGGGTGGCTCGTGTGAGCATGGGTGTGATGTACCCTCCTCAATCAAACCGGTTCCTGTCCTCTGCGACTTTTCTCTTAACAGTTTGCGCCGCTCGTGCATCCCTCCCAAATTATTCCCACCGCACTACTCCATTCGCACTTTATTCACCCGACCACCAACTGAAGTCCCAACATCATCATGGCGGACACAGTTGAAGAGACCAAGAACTCCGTCTCCGGAGAGGGCCAGGCCAATGCCAACGCATCGCTAGGGGGATCTGGCCAAGCAGAAAGCACGAGTAAGAAAACCGAGAAAAAGGCACCGAAGAAGTTGGGCAACAAGAAGCAACAGCAGCAACAGCCAACTCCTGAAGCCACGCCCGCCCCCGATAGTGAAGCTGAAGGAGAGGCTGAGCAAGAGGACGCAGGACGAAAACAAACCTCCAACAACGCCGATGCCGACGACTCGGAGCCCGAGCCCCAGCAAGAGAAGTCCAAGTCTCAATCGAGGCGTCGCCAGTCTCGCGGCCGTGGACGACGAGGCGGTGACTCGGACTCTGAGTCTGTCGCCCGATCCGACGTGTCTGCCTCCGGTGGCCGCCGCAACCGCCAGCGCCAAAAGAAGCAGCAGGGCGGCAAGGGAGGCGGCCCGCTCGACTCAATCGGCGAGAACGTTCCTGGTGGAGAACTCGTTGGCGGTGCCACCGACATGGTTCAAAACACGGCCGGCAACGCTGTCAACCAGGTCGGCAACACGGCTGGCAAGGCTCTGGGAGGCTTGACTGGTGGCGGTGGTGAGGAGGAAGGCGACAGCAAGGGCGAGCAGCTCCGGTTGCGCTTGGAGCTCAACCTGGACATTGAGATCCAGCTCAAGGCGAAGATCCACGGTGACCTCACGCTTGGTTTGCTGTAAGTTTCCTACTGTCTACAACTGCACTGAGCGACGGCTGATTTTATGCAGCAACTAAATGTTTCCGACGGAGGCTTGTCTCTGCTTTTCCTATGTTGCACGATTGGATGATCACTGAGCTTTTGCTTGTTCGTCTTGCCGGCGTTGGGAACACGGCGCTCACTATGTAATTACCCATGTTTGCATTTGCATAGAAAAGCTATGTAACCATAATGCCAACCTGTTGCGAAGCGTAATGCCTGCAGATGTGATGTATCGCCCCGTGGAGCTGCAGCTTGAAACGTCGCCGGGAAGCGGTGGCAGAGTGCGCTGCAGGGAGCTGTAGCCGACCCCGCACCTGCGTCTTCACGCCCATGTTTGGACAATGGGAGCGATCAACCGCCCGCTTTCTGCCAACTTTTATGTCGGCTTAGATTCCATGCGGACAAGCGGCCCACGGTTGAAGGATGCCGGTACCGTCGGAACACTTGCACATGCGTGCACCGCCCTCCGATGGACCTGATGCGTGGGCCGCTTTCGCCGCATGACGTAGGCAATCGCGATCAGGATTGGGGCGGGCGACAGGGATCACGCCCATGCCTACCATGTCATCCAACGTTGCACGGGTCCGTGCGGGCAGCCCCAGTCGCTCGTTGCATCAATCTTGTTTTCGGCGGCGGGCTGGCCGTGGATAGTACCTCGACAGTCCTCTGCAGTCGACGTGCTCTTCGTTCCCTCTGAACACTCTTCGCGAGCCGCCTTCCCATTCCCAGACCAAAACCACATCCCCGCCCAAGTCACGAGCCCCACCACCCACCATGGCCGACAACAAGAACTACGATGACGAGCCGCATGAGCGGACGACGATGCAGCAGAAGAAGGCGATCAATGCAAAGAAGCAGGCAAAGCGCGAATCCGGCGAGCAGACGGCACGGTCACGGTCCTCGTCCCGCCGCGCCCGGCGGCAGCGCATCCAGAAGGGCATGGAGGACGGCAAGTACCTGAAGACGACGTCGCTGGAGGCGCTCGAGGAGGCTGACGCGAATGGCGAGCTCAATCAGATGGGCATGTTCGAGCGCATCGGCCCGGACAGCACCTCCATGGACGGCCCCGTTACCTATGCCCGCGCAATGCGCGGCGAGATCCCCATGCGCGGCACCGACCCCAACCAGCCCTACCGGATGGAGCCCCAGGAGAAGAAGAGTTCGCTCGACGACACCGACGGCCTCAAGCTCAAGCTGGATGCCAACTTGGAGATAGAAATCGAGCTCAAGGCCTCCATCCGGGGTGATCTGACCCTGTCGTTATAGTAAGTTGGAATTGTTCCCTAGCACGTCCACCACGCCACTCCCACCCCACATATTTTCCACACAGTCGCACCCATCTCACACGGTCTGACTCTCACTTCTTTATTAACAGCGAGTAGTGCATGATTGGTGTTCTACGTACGAGCCACATGAAGAAAAAACGAATGGGACGACAACATCCTGGCATCCGCTTCGCAAGTCGAGCTTCGTCAAGACTGCACGGCGCACAATCTTTTTCTTTCCTATCTTGGCGCTGTATCTATCTATCTACGACTCTGGGGTCTCCTTCAAGCGTTACGGAGTTAGACCATCGCATCATTGGGTAATTGTACAAGTCAGTCAATCAAAGATCAGGTATTGATCATATCGTCGTCCGCGTCTTCGTGGTGGCTCAACAGATCCCCGTCCCTCCTCTTTCCCTAGCATAGCCATCTCGCTCACCCGCACGCTACATGCTTCGATTGTTGGATGCTGACATTCTACCAGCGCCGCAGACGATGCCTTCGCAAATATTGGTAAGAGCCTAGGCAAGGTGAGTTCGGCTGTTGGAAAAACTGCGGGCAGGCTGGGCCAGACGGTCGGTTCGGCGTCGAAGACTCTCGGGAAGACGACGGGCGCATTGGCTCAGACGGCCACATCGACGGTAGGCGGTGTTGGGGACAAGGTCAGCGGTGTCGGAAACACGGTAGGAAAAGCGACAAAAACGGGGTCGAACCTCACGAACTCGATCACGAACACGGCTAAGAATATCGCCAAACGGTAACAAGGAGCAACAATAGACGAGCTATTGGTTGTTGGGAGTGGGCTCTGTTGCGTGGCGAGCACGTGCGGCGTCGGCGTGGTATTGAACTTTGGATTGCTGAACGGGACGTGTGGGTTTCTGCGTGCGCTGCACGGTAGCGAATCTCAAGGTGCGCAGGCAGTCGCGCACAGCTTTTCAATACCCAATCTCAGGTTGTTCTTTCTCTTCGCATCCTGTTCACCAATCTTCGATTGTGCACCGTACTTTATGTCATTACTTTACCAATTCTTATCCCCTTTGCCTTCGTATCTGCATCTTTTCTATCCATCCCACCATGTCTCGCATTCCCCGTCCAACCACAGAGTCCACCCAGGACTCCTCCAGCCGTTTCGGCAGCTTGAGGGGCTCCATGCGCAAGGGGTTCCAGAGCCTGCGCGAGACGCTGAAGAAGAAGGACCCTGCTGCTCCATCAACTGACCGTCGCAAGATCTCGGCGCCGATCATGAAACAGGTTGAGGTAGAGAGCGGCGTCAATACGGTGTCAGTGCCTGCTCCCCTCGAACTGCCTTCGCCTCCGGCTCCGCCCCGCCAACCCGTTCGCAGCATCAGGTGGGAACAAGGAGTACATGTACCGAGCTGCGTAAGTATGAGGCCGGGACCTGCCCCTCGCGAGCTGCTTGCACTTCCCCTGAGCATGCGCAAATTCAAACAGGAGGGGAAAGGGTATGAACCGAACGGCACCGATGCCGATCTCTATCCTCGTCCTCTCTCTGTCGCTTCTCACCTGCAAATTCTGCCTCCAAAAAGGGAGGAGAGAGTGCCCAAAGATTTGGGGCCACAACCTCTTCCCCTCGCTGCAGCTCCGCCTCGCCTACCCATTCGCAACCCGGAGCGCAACGGTATCATCATTCCCCCTAGTAGGGATATGGTGGCAGATCAGGCGCGTGTACCAGAGCCTCTCCACAAGTTCAAGCTGAGGAAGCCTGATTTGGCCGTGCGCGATTCTTTTGCCAGAGAGCTGCCGTCACCGCCGCCGAGTGAGCCGCGGTCGTCGCCTTCGGTCGAAGGAGAGGAGCAGGTGGAGGCGGCTACGGGCATTGTATCCACTCTCGATGCGGCGCAGCAGCCGGGGCAGGAATACCACGTTACAGAGGGGAGCACGGCTGCGGTTTCCGAGGTAGTCGTGGAGAAAGCGTCACCGTCGAGCGATGCAAAAGGTGGTGAGTTACCCCAGGCTACACTATACACACTCACAGCTAACGGCACACAAAAGCTACAGCGTACTCTCCGGACGCCTTCACCGACCGCATACAGTCCATCACAGAACGCATGGACAGTATCAAAGTCAAGATCGCCGAAGGCGTCGAGAACGACGAACACGATCCTGTCTTGGAAGCGCGGGGCTCGCGGATCCTGGAGCAGGTCACGAGTCTCAAAGAGGAAGTTGCGAACGCACGCCATTCCAAGTACATCCTCAGTAAAGAGGAAATCGCGAGCATTGAGAGCGAGTGTCAGCCTCGTGCTCCTGAGTTGGTCGATGTGATGATGACGGCACAGGAGAAAGTGGATAAATTAGTGGAGGAAGCACGGAGGTTGGCGGCGCTTGTGGAGGCTGAGGAAGAGAAAAAGAGAGTGCAAGAAGAAGAGAGACAGGAGGATGAAGGGAAGAGCAAGCCGCCGCCAGATGCGCCCACAGCGCCGAAAGGTATGTTATGCTCAGACTATCAAGTATCTCGGATCGCGACTAACAATGATTGTGTACAGCGATGCTTGTACGCCGAGCGGAACGCGCTGCCCAGGGTCAGCAGCAGTCCCACTCCTGGGGACGAAACGGGCCTCCGTCTTCAGTCCAAAGACAGACCAGAAGCGGTGGGAATCGGTCCGGAAATGGGCGTCCCAACCAGCGGATGCCATACAACTCGCAGAGCATGCCTCGTGGCGGATATCGCAATGCGGCTCCAAACCCTTCCCGCCATCGCATTCCACAGAGCAGACCGGGAGGTAACCTGGAAAGTGAACCGCAAGGTCACTTTCGAAACGGTTCTCGCAGCGGGCCTCCAGGACAGCCCGCGACGCCTTACGAGACGTGGACCATGCCGCGCAGAGGCTGGCCCCAGAATCACGGCTACAACTGGCCGCAAAGAACGCCACCGATGAATCCGATATGGCACAGTTCGTCGGGATCAGGCGCCGCTCCATATACTCCGGGTCCGCCAGGTTACTTTCCGGGCTACAGCCCATATGGGCCCTTTGGTTCGATAGGCGGGTATGCGCCGTGAGAGCTGTCAAAAATGCTCCTGGAAATCGTCTGTTGAGGTGTCCGAGTCTACCCTGCGTCCACCATACACGCCCAGACGAGCCTCCTTCCTCTGACCAAGAACACAACCTGTGGCCTCCAAAAGCCCCAGAACGCCATGCTTCGAATCCCACGCTCGAGTCTCTGCTCCCTCCTACCCCCCTGTCCTAGTTTTAATCACCGCTATCGCCAGAGCCATATCCACTTTCAACACCACCCCACACTCATCCCCGGCTGCCCTCTATACCGCACCCCACACATCACCATACCGAGCACAGCCATGAGCCCAAAAAACATGAGCACAGTGCAGAGCAGCAAGACGAGGCGCTGGCAGCAGGTTGCGCGGCGGTAGTGGATGACGATGTTGAGGTGGGTGGGTGGGTGTCTATATGTGCGGTAGGCGTACGCATTTAAGAGGGACAATTCCGGGTCTAACGGGTTGTAGAGACGGTGGGAATTGGAGTAGGGGTCGTGCATTTCGGATAGTGTGATGTTGATGGGTTTGAGGTTGTGATGATGGCTGAGGTTGCGAGCGTTCGTTCCAAGTTCTTTCTTTCCCAGTGCAGGACCGCAGGTGCTTTTCGACGTGGAATCTCTGCCGCCCGCAAGAATCGGTCGGTCTGTACCTCTTCTTCTTCCTGTATCTTGCCGCCGGCCAAACCCTCTCACACTCGCTGCTCAGAATTTCACCAAGTTTATTCCGACATTCATCAACTGCCCGAAACCCGGGTCTCCCCTCTGCTAAACACCCTCCCGCAGCAGGGGCTGTGCTTCCGAGTGGCACCCACCTAGTAAGCTGACCCTGCGACTTGCGACGGGCCCGCGTACAGCATTCGACACTGGTCGCGCGGTGTTACTTATTCGGGACCACAATTGACGCGGTGCCGCTGGCGGCCCTGCTGTACTACACTAGCGTACAGTCTTTCGCTACGGTATGGCTAGCGTCGCACGCGTTTGGCAAGGGGTGCCTTAAAGTCCGCGGATGGGTGATGATTAAATCCGTGCAGTGAGCATTTTCTTCTATACGCAGAGGGGATATGTTCGGCACTTGGCTAAACTATGTGTGCTTGGAGTTGACTGGCTACAGGTGCAAGGTTTCCGAGCTTGTTACGGATTGTCGTAAGGCTTCGAAGGACGCGATGTACAACTTCAGTTAACTACTTCAAGATGGAGAGTTTGCATAGCCTTGTCTTGCCGAAGAGACACCTGTGATGATCACCCAATAGTTGATTCCCGTATGCACTTGACGAGTCGGTTCACGCCGTGGATGCTGTGACTGACCTCGGGATCTAACGCTCGCAGGCCTATCAATACTAATACTTGTCTCTGTGCTTGCACTGCTCCGGGAGTCAAGTCCATCAAACAACGATAAAGTCACTCGTTGATTGAATGCAGGACCATGGTCCGCATCATGCCCATTCCACTGGCAGTACTTGCCTCTCTGCCCAATGCGGTATTTCGCGCTGCACATGTACCTCATCGCTCAACAAGTTATCCGAAAACTCACGATGTGACCGTGCTTCGAGCTTCAGCCATTCCGCATCACGCATGTAGTTTCCACCCACAGTCACCTTCTCCGCATCATCCTCCCGCTTAAACCAGTCAAGGACCTTCTTCCGTCCCCAGTTCCTCGCCACGCGATCCGCGCACCCAAAAGTATCGCTCGGGTAGAGAACGGCAGCAGCATCGAGGAGCTCGATGGCATGGTCCTCCATGTCCAGAATGATGAGTGTGCATATATAAGTCGCAACCAGCTCGTCGTCTGGAGTCCCGTCCCTTGGTACAACGCCATTCAACTGCGGGAGGTAGTTGCGAGCGCGGGCATTTGTAAGCCCGGGATAACAACGCATGTTGCTCTTTGGAAATTGTGCGATTGGGGCGAGGAGACGAACACGTCCATACGTCGTCTTTTGGCTCGCAGCCGTGCAGAGCCTTTTCAAAATTTCTTTTTTCGGAAAAGGCGGCGGGGGAGAAAGCGATAAAGCGTGGTTTGCACAGGAAATGATGCGCTTAGGAAGGGTGTCTCCTATGCGCCGATTGGAAATTGAGAGAGTGGAATTGTAGAGAGCGGAGGCGAACAGGGTGCGGCGATGGGGGATAGAGGGGCTGGTGCATGGCAACAGACGTGCGTTGAGGGACATAGACAGGTTTGGTAGGATTATGTTGTTGTGAAGGGAGAGAAGTATCTCTTTGGCCCAAGTCCCTTTGTCCAGATTAGTTGGGTATCTAAAGCACACATGGGATACAGTCAATGACGCACTGTTTACAAGGCGGAGGGAGAGGATAGTGTGGAGATTCCAACAACATTTTTTCGGATAGAGGATGCGCGCACGTGGTGTTGACGGTGGTTCGGTGGGGTCTGACTCTGGACCGCTGAGGTACGCGACGACTAGCTGTTCGATTACAAGAACAAGCAGATCGGCGGGTAGACTGTTCAATGGAAAAGGTGCTTCGTCTGCGACGGTGTTTTGGTTTTGCTCTGTATGACTCTCTCCCAGATCACAATTGTCCGTCTCGATCTCATTCTCCCGTAGTTCTTTGAAGTCTTCGGGTGTTGTGCTGCGGAAGCGGGCGCTGAGACGGTTGACGAGAAGAAGACGAGAAACACGGCGGCGTGAATGCTGTAATAGCATTGTGCGCCCTGTAATGAGCTCAACTAGGTGGGGGTTGTGGTGGTTTACTGTGTATCGTAGATTCCGAGGTTCGGTCCAATGTGGGGTTCAATTGTTGTTGCCTGGCAGCAGCCTAGGCGTGCTTGCTACACGCAAGAAAAGTGTCGCAGCGACTCGAGGTCCAGTGAAACAGGCCCCAGATATAAGAACCAGTATGCCAGTTCAGAATTTCCAGGATTCTTACTGCTCTCGTACGTGGGCACAAAGCCATGGTATGGTGTGCCGGCTGACAAGTGGCTTTCGAGCTGGGTAGCTCGCCCGCCTAGGGATGCAAAAGAACCCCAGTCGAATCCCCAGGGTAATTGCTATCTGGAGACATGCAGCTCTTGCAATGCAGATCGATGTAGAAAAATCCCTCGTTCCCCACGCCTGATCAAATGACATTCCGTTTTTTTTTTGTTTCACGTAGCCGTTCCACCTCGAGCAGACATGCCATGGGTCACTCGAGATGTTTACCGTTCGGTACTGTGGCAGACGCCTTTTGCTGTTACTCTCCCGGTTGGGGGTTGGACGAGCCGTCCTTCAATCTCAGCCTTGTCTCGCCCTGCTTGTCGCCGATGCATCAACAACAGGGAGTAGGTGAAGCCGTTTGAGCGGTCACCGATGTCTGGATCTCTCTGCGCGGTGAGCTGTAGCCCTATTCGATGACAGCATCGTGCGACTCAAATATCAAGTTTTGCTCTGCTCGCGACGAGCATGCATTTTAGGCCAGTTCCAGCTCTGAGATGAAAGAGACACTGATCAACCCCATTCTACACCACTTACGACGTTTTTGTTAAGGAACTCGTACCATGATCCGCTCTTCACTTACTTTGTGCCCCTTTTCATACTCGCCTTGGGGCTTCAAGACAGTTCGATCTACCTCATTACAAACCGGAAAGACTTCAAGAAGCATACGGACAACCACCCGCTCCCTCCTAGAGTGCAGCGGTTGCTACTCCAGGGCGCACGTCTCCGTGCATTGTTTGGTGTGTGGTACCTGGGAGCGCTGTTTCACATGGCTCGTCCAATGCTCAGTCCTTCAGAGGTTAAGCACCTCTTCACTATATACTCATGGGGTGAATATCCCGAGCAGGTCGACGCAGCACACATGCTTCTCACAGCATTGATATCAGTGGAACGCGCAATCTGAAGTTTATCCAGCACCCACTCGGATGCGCATGGGTTTGGGTGCTGCTTTCAAAAGACTCAGTGCCGGTGAGTGGAAGATATCTGTTGCCATGGATAAGGGGCACCACGCACTCGCGTACAGCTACCTCGGAAGACTTTGGGGCCAGCGGGATGGAGGGTGCTTAGGCAAGCGTGTGGTGCAGTTGTCAATGGCTGTACACCTGGTGTGCGGTTTGTTGGGCCACGCGGGGCTTTGACGGCAGAACATTTCGTGGACGCTTCTATCTGGGCGACAAGCGAAGGGATGGCTTTACGACTTGTATGCTCGCCTGGCACGTGGTCGTTGCGGTGTTCGAGATGACGCAGGTAGAAGAGCGCGCAACGAAGAGCGCCGTTGCGGGGCTGGTAGAAAAAGTCCACCCCACCTTGGAGCGCCTGCGCCTGGTTTCGCCCCGCTACACGAAAAAGACAGCGCCCGCGCCAGCAACACGGACGCGCGAAAAGGAAGATGGAGGACGACCGAGCGCAGACAAACCTGGGGCCGGCAGCTGAGGACGGTGTGCCTGAGGAGGTGCGCGCTGTACCCAAGCAGCCCAGGCGCCGGTTTGTAGGCAGGAAATCGGCGGCAGAGGCGGGCAGCGCAGACCCAAATGCCAACATCGAGGACTCGTCGGCGATACAAGGTGTGAGACAGCCCAGCCGCCAGCGCCTGCTCTCCGGCGTCTAACAAGGAGCGCAGTTGCCCAGCCTCGCCGCACTGCCCGCGCGCTGAACTCGATCCCCGACTCCATCCTCAACGACGCCGACATCAACGCCGCCATCGCACTCCTCCCGCCCAACTACAACTTCGAGATCCACAAATGCATCCACCGCATCCGCTCGTCGGGCGCCAGGTCGATCGCCCTGCAGTTCCCCGAGGGCCTGCTGCTCTTCGCGACCACCATCTCGGACATCCTCACGCAGTTCTGCCCCGGCACCACCACGCTGATCATGGGCGACGTGACGTACGGCGCCTGCTGCATTGACGACTTCACGGCGCGCGCCCTGGGCTGCGACCTGCTCATCCACTACGCGCACAGCTGCCTGATACCCGTGGCAGTCACCAAGATCGCCACGCTCTACATCTTCGTCGCGATAGGCATCGATACGCAGCACCTCGTCAACACCATAACCCAGAACTTCCCCACCGGCAAGACCATCGCACTCGTCGGCACCATCCAGTTCAACGCCACCATTCACGGCATCGTCTCCGTCCTGAAGCGCGAGGGCTTCACCGCCATCGTCCCGCAGATCGCGCCGCTCTCCAAGGGCGAAATCCTCGGCTGCACCTCGCCCTCCATGGCCATCCAGCACGGCCAGCTCGACGCCAAAGGCCGCGAAGAGCCCGTCCCGGACCTCCTCCTCTACCTCGGCGACGGCCGCTTCCACCTCGAGAGCGCCATGATCGCCAACCCCTCCATCCCCGCCTACCGCTACGACCCCTACTCCCGCCGCCTTACCCACGAAACCTACCAGCACACCTCGCTGTACTCGCTCCGCCGCACCGCCATCCTCACCGCCCGCAAGGCCACCACCTGGGGCATCATCCTCGGTAGCCTCGGTCGCCAGGGCAACCCGCACACCCTGACTCTCATCGAGAACGAGCTCAAGCGCCAGGGCCTCAAGTCCATCAACCTGCTTCTCTCGGAAATCTTCCCCGGAAAGCTCGCCATGATGGACGACGTCGATGCCTGGGTGCAGATTGCGTGTCCAAGGCTGAGCATCGACTGGGGTTATGCGTTTCCACGGCCGCTGCTGAGCCCGTACGAGGCACTCGTTGCCCTGGGCGTGCGGGAGGCGCCGTGGTTAGATGAGGAGGTGGGAGAGAGCGAGGTTAGGAGGAATCTGTATCCCATGGACTTTTATGCGAGGGAGGGATTAGCGAGGACAACCGAGGGGCATGTGAGGGCTGCAATGGAGGTGGAGATCAAGGGGTAGGAAGAATTATCGAGGAAAAAGGCATGCATGGCTCGGCGTTGGGAAAAAAAAATATCAGGAACTTAGTGGCGTATATGGAAGAATGTCTAAAGGATAGATGAAGAATGCTACAGAACCGTACTCCACTTCTACGCGCGCCATTGTTGCTCAGACTCTTTGGACGTCCAGAAAACTCCTATGGCGTGTGGAAGGAGTGCTGGTTGTAGTAGAAACAGCGACTCGCGAGGCAGAAGCTCAAATAATCTGCCAAACGGTCCAAGGCCATCCTTACCCCTTCTTCCTCGCAAAACGCCCTGAGCTTGCTGCGCGAACGGATGAGCAGATTAGTTCGACTTCAGCATAGCTTAGTAAGCACGGCTCACTGCACAGCTGAATAGGTGAAAAGCCACGAAGAGAAAGAAACATGTAGATCAATATAGAAAATTCAAGAATAAGATGGGGGAAGCACTACATCATCTAAGATCTCTTGATAAAAGAAGGCAAGAACAGATAACGGCGTACCGCACGAGTCTTGGGGGACTTTTGGGCTTCTATCGGCCAATAGTTGATTGTGGAGTAGATTCCACTGCGATCTTTAGCACTGACGAAGTCTGGTGGTAATACTGGGCTGTTGAGTATACGAGAGACTCTGCGAAGACATGTTAGGTCGTATGTGAGCCAGCGATCTTGAGAGAGACTGCGAGGAAGAGACAGAGTGGAAGGGAACACTAAAAACTATGCACAAAAGATCGATCCGCTACACTACTATGCCGCTCTTCTACTATGCCGCTCCTCTACTATGCCGCTCCTCTACTATGCCGCTCCTCTACTATGCCGCTCCTCTACTATGCCGCTCCTCTACTATGCCGCTC